AGTTTCTACGAGCTTTCGTACGTGTACATCCAACATCGAGGTTCAGTTCCGATAATGCTCAGCGTGTTGCTACACTGATCCTGACCTCTCGACCTTGAACAATCAGACTATATAAATTCTCAACACAAAGCAATCACGGTGATGTTTTTCTGAAAAATGTGAACCCATATTACAGGGGGAACATTTTGCCCGAAATCAGGGAGGCTTAATTTGAAACGTCAGCCCTGCCCCACGTGCATCATAGATGCACATGGCTTGATGGCTCTCAAGAGCATTGATGCGGGCGACTAGCTGCTCAACGAGAGCGGCGTTGACAGAGGTCACCGCAGATGGTGCAGTGTGTGTTGCTGGTGGTGGGCCCGGGGAGTCTGCAGTGGCTTTCCCTTTTGGAGCCATATTGATGCAGAGTCTTTAATGATATAATGAGTAATTTATAAATGGATGTTCTATTGAGAACAAGAACTTAGCAGGCCTTATAATCCACTCTATCTCTCATACCATGATGTTATAACTGAAGGATCGTCGTGGATAGGATTAAGTTGCCAAGTATAAAGGAGAGAACTGTGAAGTCTTTGTAATAACCTTGTTAACAAATTGAAGGAGAACAAGATTATTATAAGATAGAAGTACAAGGGCATAAATAGCATACCTAGCTAGCCATGTACTCTGAGGGGTACATTCCCTTATTAACCGAACTACATTGCTACAGTAACCACGACTACCGTAAGGCCCCGGATAGAAGCGCAGGCCTCGGATAAGCGCCGGCGGTTGTAAAAGGGTGATGGCGCTTATATCCGGTCCTCGATTATAAGCGCACCCCTGAAGGCTTACGGATTATAAGCGCACCCCTGAAGGCTTACGGATTATAAGCGCACCACATTATAAGCGCCTCGTTTTTTTATTTTATCCTATCTTTTACCCTATCTTTTACAAGCTATTTTCACTACAACATAATATTTTTCCAATTCTACTACGGTACTAAATCCTACTGATAGTTTACCGCAACATTCACTAATCTTCTCTACCACCCTATGCATTCTTTTCTTCCTAGCATCCTAGGCATCACTATCAACAGTGGCGGAGCCATCTTGGTCGGTCTCCCCATCCGACTCTGGCTCCTCTACGTTGTTGCAGCAGAATCCATCTGCTGCAATCTCGTCGTCAAGTTCTACTTCACCCTTGACGGCGTCCCGCCGGTGCTGCATGCAGAGATTGTCCTGGGACCCATCCAGGGCGTTGCTGATGCCACAGGTGAGAAACGAACGCTGAATCAACTCCTTGGGCACGGCCTTCCAGGCCTTGGAGATCCACTTGAGCGTTAGCTCTGGAGGTGGCTTGCGGATGTTGCCTGCCACACATGGAAACACTACAGCAATCAGAACAGGGTGGAAACAGTCTAAGAAGACACATTGTACACGTTGAGATTGAGCTCACCTCTTTCGGTCAGGCAGTCGACCCCCTCGCTCTCGAACCACTCCTGGTACAGTTGGCGGACTGTTGCTTTGAATGAGCGGTTCACCGCGACGTCAAGAGGCTGGATCTCAGAGGTGTAGCCAGCTGGTATGACGGCGGGGACGATGTTCAGCTCCCCGAATTTCGCCTTCACTGCATCAGTGAGGTGCCCGCGGTAGGAGTCAAGGACCAACATCACTTTCCTGGGGCGTACTCCGAACCTGGGGTTGACATACGGGTTCACCGTCCCGTCGAGCCACGCGAGGACGCCGTCAGCGTCCATCCAACCGTTGGGATGTACGGCAACCACAACATCTGCACATCCGAGCAAGGCGCACGGACAGATTAGCATCGGACATTAAAAAAAATATATCACATGTAAATGACACCGTCACTGCACAAGCTGCTCGGCTTACCGGAGGGGAAATTCCCCTTAGGAATTGTCTTGCGCTTAAAGAAGACCCAAGGCTTGAGCTTCTCGCCGCTGGCGGTGCAGGCGAGCATCACCGTCACGCGTTCTTTTTGATAGCCGCCGCTGCGGATGGGCACGGAGCGGATCCCCACCTCCTCGACTGTGCGTTCAGCTGGCATCTCGAGCCAGAGTGGCGTTTGATCGGCATTAATAATCCAGCGGTTGTCAATGCCGTACTGACGGCGGGAGTGTCGCACGAACTTCCAGAAGTTCTGCACCTGTGTCTCACACTCTGCAAGGGAAAGGTGGGAGAGACAAACAAAAGAAATAATTAGAATTTCGAAGGTCGTAAGCAGCCATAAACGAGAGCGACAGCACAAACACCGTCTCACCAGACGACAACTTCTGGCCGGCTCTGGTCTTCGCTCGGGTAGTGAGGTTCCAGCGCCGTCGAAAACGCTCAGTCCACCTCTGAGATCCAGCCCACTTTACCTCAGGATGCAGGATCTTCATCACATCATGTGACCACTTCTTCAATCGGCCGACGGACACGGCGAGACACCTTTTCCGGTGGGCAAGAACACGTGAGTACACCTCGATCTCCATGTCGCGGTACCACGACGCCCGACCACGCCCGTGAAGGCGCTTGCGAGCCCCATGCGCACCTTCCAGCTCACCCTTCCGCGACTTCCACTCTGACAGGGACTTTCGGGAGATACCAGTGTCGCGGGACATTCTCCGCACACTCACAGCTCCGGACTCCAACTTTGCAATCCACTGCAGCTTCTCCTGGGAAGTGTAGGAGTTGCGCTTGTGCGTTGAAGGCTTGCTCCTGGGGGACGGGGGGCGAGCATCACGATTCTGTTTGGAGGGGTGGGGCCGTTTTTTATTCGGCGGGGGGAAACTAGGGACGGGCAGGTCCTCGGGAAGACCGTCGGCCGCCCACCACTCAACATCGTCTTCGGCACCAGTGGCGGATTCGTCGTACGGGCAGTCTTCCGCGTCTCCCCATCGTGGCGACAGACTGGGGCCGGGTTCATCGTCGCCGCTGCGCTCGGGCTCGGAGATGTACGCGTCGAAAGCTGAGTAACCGCGAGGGAGGAGCTGTAGAACGGGCCGACCGTTGACGACAACGATAGGCGGAGCGGGAGGAGCAGGAGGTGCTGGAGGAGCAGGAGGCGCAGGAGGAGCAGGAGGAGCAGGAGGCGCTGGAGGAGCAGGAGGCGCTGTGCGACGACTCTGCCACTGAGAGTAATCGCGAGTGTTGCCAACAACAGGTCGACGGCTAAATAGGAAGTGAGTGCCCGGAAGGCCCGCCATGGCCTAGGCAGGCCGAGGGAAAACAATAAAACTGAACAAAACGAAGCGAATGAGCCTCGTTTGAAACCCTCGCAAGAGACCCCTCCAACTTCGCGGCTCGGGTTCCTCTGCAGGGAAAGGGGGAAAACTGTCAAGATCCCCCCGCAGAGGAGCTGAGGTGGTGAGGTCACTGCCTCGGTGGAGTGGAATCTTGCCGGGGATGCCAATTGCGTGGTTGTACAGAGTCGTGCCTGGCACGGCATGCGACCCTGATTGGGCAGTCGCACCCGAAACTACGTGTGCGCTAGCATGGGCCAGATTCATGTTCGATGAATCTGGCCAGGCCAGCAAGGCGTGATGGGCGTGATTCCACGCCTTGTTGGCCATGTCACGCAGTTTTCATGCACGGAAGCGAACGTTCTAGATGTCCGTCGAATCCTCTTTTGAAAATGCTTCAATTTCATGTTAAAACAATACATTTCATTTTTGCCATTTTATAAACGCCGGCGCTTATAAATTTCCTCGATTATAAGCGCACCCCCTAAAAAACAGTGTTTTTTTATACCCCCAGGGGCGCTACTATCCGGGGCCTGACGGTATTGCCATTCTAGACAGTTATCATGTTGCATTTCGTAACTGCCTTGTGCGGTTACTGGACAGTCAAGGGTCACGACTGTTGACTGTCTTTGACTGTTGACCTTCGGGTGACCCTCGACCTTCCGCGTGCTCTATAAGAGCTAGTGCGGTACTAGTACAAGTCCCTGCTTCGCTATGAAGAGACACGACAGTAGAGATCCTTCAGGAATGCTTATAAACATTTCGGTTATTCCAACGACAATAAGCCATTAACTAAAAAAAGTATCGCTGCATGAAAAAAAGAGAGTACCGCTGAGTAGATATTGAATAAATCAGTTCATGCACTCCTTGCGATATATGATTTTGCAACATAATGGAGAGAGACGTTTATGATTCTAAATTTGTAAACATCTTGCTTTATCCTGACCACTCTACTGAATTGCGTCAATAAGCTAAATGACAACTCTACTGTGCACGTTCCTCGACGTGGTACCGCTGGCGGCTTGCTTCCATTCTCTCGCCAATGAGAGAGATTCCGAAATCAACGAAATAATCAGGCGACGTTACCACCACCACCGCACAGTCAATTTAGGTTCGGCTCCGGTCGCTTGCAAATCGGACTTTTGCTCGAAACCCTACCCGAACGCAAATAGCTGTAAATTAACCGCTTCGACATTCACAACATCTCATTCAACCGCATTCGATGAACTCATGACACTCCCTCAGCCTTCCCAAACCAACATGTCCTTTGTCAGGTAAGCTGTCACACTCTCCTCTGTCCTTGTTTCTCAGATAGCAGGACTCTAAACTCGGGGTTGTTATTACTGCGGTTTGGTTATGTGTTTAGCGGTTCTGAAGGCAAAATGCCGCAGTAGGGAAGTGGCGGTACGCCGCTGAACGTGCTGGCATTGCCGCTGACGAGTTACAGTTCGACGTCGCGGCATTGTCGCAATTCGAAGCTAGTGGCAGCTAGCAGCCTGCTCAGCGGAAGCTCGGAGAATCCCCCGCTGGCCACGCCACTGCGCATGTTACCGCAGCCGCTGGGGCCCCTGAGAATTGTTCGTGCACGTTTTTCCAAATCGTTGGTATACTAGCAACCTTCCAAGCAACCTCGGAATTTCAGCTCCGGCCATCTGTCGTTATCTTCCGACTGGACTCGGAAGTCACTAGCCATCTTCCATTGGCGCACGCACTGTTCCTGCGCGTGGCGCGTGGCGCCGCGGGGACATCAGGGATTGTTCCTGCCCGTTCAATTCCCGCAATGGCGACTCGGCGTGCGCGCATCCCATCATGCGGAGCGCTGTTTGGGCTCGCGGTGCTGCTGCTGCTGACTCAGCAGCAGTGGCGCCTCGCGTCGTGCCAAGGAGCGACAGGTCGGTTGTATACTCCAAGTGGTACCACTGGTAGCGGTGGTAACCACGTGTAACCCAGCGATTGGTTCCTCTTGCAATGGTAGTAGCAAGTGTGTCCTGGGTCGACTCTCCAATGTGTTTTGACAGCTCAGTCTGCGCGCTTACTTCTGGCGCGTAACGCCGTGCAATGGAATGAGGTGACTTTTGAGTCGACTCAAAAGTCACTCTGTTGTGACAACTCATTGTGCCCTCTCGTGGGAATTCTCAAAGGCGCGTAACGCCGTGCAAAGGAACGACAGACAGACAGACGTGTGGTGACCGCTCTTGTTAACTAACGGCACACGAGTACGTCTGTTTACAGCATTCACCCACTGCACTGAGCGTCCCCCCTCTCTCCTTTGAGGCGCCTCAAAAGTGGTGACTGCTCCTGTTCACTAACGGTACACGAGTGCACCTGCTTACAGCATTCACCCCCTGCGCACCCCCCCCTCTCGCCACCTTACCTATTGTCGCGTGCCCCACGCGTAATGCCACTGCTTACGTGGCCAAGCAGAAGAAGGCTCATCGAAGCCTGCTGCGCCAGTTAGAGCCTCCTTCTTCCCCACCTTTCACCCACCTTTCCGTACCTTTCACCCACCTTTCACCACCTTTCCCCACCTTTTCCCACGTCCTCTTCCCCATCTTTTTCACCGGAACACCCCTCGTCCCAGGTACCACCTGCGCCAAGCCCACCGCCACTGTCTATGTGGCTCAGGGGGGCGTCCTCACACCCTGCTGCGGCCAGAGCCCTCAGCAGCCATGCGGTGAGTGCGACTAAGCCCAGGCAAAGTTCTATAGCCGACTCAAAACTCACTGTCTACGTTGTCGAGGGGGGCGTCCTCACACCGTGCTGCAACCAGAGCCCCCAGCAGCCATGCGGTGAGCCTCAGCAGCCATGCGGCGAGCCTCAGCCCCGGAAGTGGCCTTAACTCGACTTAGAAGAGAATAGGGCGAGGTAGGACCGTTGGATCCGAGTCGAAACTATCCTTTTATGCTCGTTGCGAATTTTTAGAGCCAAGTCATTCCATTGGCGCACTGAGAGGTTATTTAGAATCTTCACAAATCTCTCACAAACACATTGACTAGCACTCATTGCCTCACTGCGAGGCTTTTCAGGAGCTAAGGCCATCCCATTTTCATTGAATCAGCGCTCGCAGCAGCTTTCGCTTCTCTCGTTGCCACTAGGCAGATGAGAGAGAAGGAATCACTTTCTCTCTTCTCTCTTCCCTCTCTACTCTCGCTCTCTTATATCTCCACACCCCCCTCCCCTGTCCACCACACAGGTTCCCTGCAAGCCGCCCTGAACAGGTAAATACCCCATCGTTTTCCCACTCCACTTCACACTCCACACCACTCCACTCCACTCCACTCTACTCATTCTGAACACTTCGTTGATTCTCAACACCATCAGTTTTCGCACTGGTCTCCAACAAATCCCTGAACGAGCCGCCTTTCCCCTGCATGCCTCCGTCCACTGCCTGCTTTGAAGCCGCCATGCCATTTGCCAAGTTGTTTCATACCAACGAAACGATTCAAAGGAGACAGGGGACTGATTTGCCTGTCAAGTAAAATTTCCAACGTCCCACAACTGTGCTGGCGAAGTGAAAGCAAAACCGCCTATAATCTCCCCACCTACAGGCTGCACCCATAAGAATTGCTGCGAATGTGCTTCATTGTTCATCTCCCCACCTACCCCCTGCTTTCCCCCACACAGTGCGTCAGATGGGGCCACCATCCACACAGTGCGTCAGATGGGGCCACCATCCACATCGCATCAGGCACCCACTCGCCCTCCTCCCCTTCGCCTCTCCTCCTGCCCCACCTCCGCCAATCCATTCCATACTCACAACCCCCCCCCTCTCTTCCACCTCCACCCTGCCCGCATTGACTGCCCCCAGGGCCACGGCTTCCAAGCTCCGTGCTCTGCCCGTCCCTTGTCCCTGCTGCTGCTCTCCCCTTTCTTCCCTTCTCACCCTAACCATCCTTTCACCCCCTTTCCACTCACCCGCCCCCAACAGCGCTGCAGAAGGAGCCACCATCCACGTCGCATCAGGCACCTATACACACTCCTCCCCGGCGCCTCTCCTCCTGCCCCACCTCCGCCTCTCCATCCTCGGTCCCCCCCTCCACCTCCCCCCTGCCACTATCGACTGCTCCCATGGCCCCTGCTTCCAAGCGCTCTGCCCCGGTACCTCTCCTCCCTCCTCCGTTTCGTCCCCACCCTCCCGTTTGACTGCCGTTGAACCGCCTGTTGCTGCTGGCACTGGTGATGCTGTAGCGACGGCTGTAGCAGCGGTTGTAGCAACAACGGCTGTAGCGACGGCTACAGCAGCAGAACCAGCGGCAGAAGCAGCAGCAGGAGCGGCGGCAGCAGCAGTGCCGGTCCGTGGGGAGGCAGCGTGCAGCAGCTCTCTGGTAACCATCTCGCGGGTGCACGTGGTGAATGGGCGGAGCAAGAGCAAGGGCGGGTGCATGCTCTTCCAAGGAGTCTCCGTGGCACTGAGGTGAGTGAGATGAGAAGGGTGCTGGGATGAATGCTGAGCTTGGTGCGGTGTGGAGTGGAAAGCAAAAGCAGCAACAGCGTGCAGCCAGCCGCGTGCAGCAGCTCTCTGGTAACCATCTCGCGGCTTCAGGTGGTGAATGGGCGGAGCAACGGCAAGGGCGGCTGCATGCTCTTCGAAGGGGTCGGGTCACCATGGCACTGAGGTGAGAGACACGAGATAAAAAGCTGCTGCCCCTTGGTGGGTTGAGATTAGATGGATGCGTTGTGGTATGTGAGACGTGGATTGCAGTGCTGTGCGGTACAGTGCAGTGCAGTGCAGTGCAGTGCAGTCCACTTGTAATAGGAGATGCTGTCAATTTACCTCAATCCATTCTTCCTTGTAGCGACTTGCAACCCCTCTCCTCTTGCCACACTTCCCCTTCCTTCTCCCCCTCCCGCTTTCTCCCTTTCCCCTCTTCCTTTTCCCTGTCCCTCTTCCCCCACTCTCTCCTTCCACGTCTCGCGTTCTCCTCTCTTTCCCCCCCAACCCACCAGTAGTCTCACCCTTTCCATCTGCATCCCTGTCGAGCCGTCTCATCCCCTGCCCACCCCCCCCCCCCCCCTTTCTTCTCCCCTAATTCTCTCCCCTCGTTATCCCACCAGCGACCTCACCCTCTCCAACTGCCATGCCTCCGAGTCAGGAGGCGGGATCCACATCAGCAGCGCACCACAGCCAGTCACAATGCGCCACGTCACCATCCAAAACTGCTCGGTCTCCTTGCATGCACCTTCCTCCAACAAGACCGTCTCTTCATTTCGTTCATCTGCCGGATTTCGAGCATTATCTGAACCTTCTACCGACCGGTTCTCTGCATCTTCATTAGAAGCAACCCCAGCCACTGCAGCCGCGAAGGGATCAGCAGAAGGAAATGCAGCCAGGTCAGCAGCAGCGGCAGCAGCAGCAAGATCAGCAGCAGCAATGGCTGTGGTTGCAGCAAGAGTCGCAGCGGTGAAATCAGCAGCGAAAACTGCAGCCGCCGCTGCAACTGCAGCCGCAGCAACAGCAACGGCAACATCAGCAGCACCAGGCGCTGATGCAGCAGCAGCAACAGATGCGGCAGCTAATGCCCCTATCCGACAAACCGGGGGAGGGTTGGCCCTGTACCACTCTACAGCTGCTGCCACCGGCCTTATCATCTCCGGCTGTAGCGCCCTCGGAGGAATCACAACAAGAGGCGGCGGCCTCTTTGTGCTTGAATCGAGTGTGCTTATAAGCGATGCGAGAATAGAGGACTGTTACACTCGTTTGGATCCGGCGGCTGCTGCGGGGGGTAGTGGTGGTGGATCGACGGATGGATGGGTGCCGGGGATGGAAGGGGGAGGGGTTGTGGCGGGGAAGGGAGGGTGTATGGCGAGTGAGAGTTCGAATCTCACGATCGAATTCTCCGTGTTCCAAGGGGGCTTGGTACGTAGGTTACTAGGATGGTGCGGGGGATAAGGGGATGCTTGTTGGGGAAGGGAGGGTGCATGGCAAGTGAGTGTGGGGGATAAAGGGGCTTGGATATGCATGAGGGTGCATGGCAAGTGAGTGAGGCATCGAATGTTACCATCCGGTTCTCCTTGTTCCACGGTGGCTTGGTGCGTGTGTGGGTAGGATGCGTGGTGGGGGATAAAGGGGCTTGGATCATGCATGAGGGTGCATGGCGAGTGAGAGGTTGAATGTTACCATCAACTTCTCCTTGTTTCGAGGGGGCTTGGTGTGTGCGTGGGTAAGATGTGTGGTGTGGGATAAGGGTGCTTGGTGTGCGGATGAGGGTGCTTGGTGTGCGGATGAGGGTGCTTGGTGTGCGGATAAGGGTGCTTGGTGTGGGATGAGGGTGCTTGGTGTGCGGACGAGGGTGCATTTGGCAAATGAGAGATCGAATTCTACCATCTGCCAACCAAGGGGGCAAGGGGGTTCATTTTCCAACCAAGGGGGTTCATTTTCCAACCAAGGGGGTTCATTTTCCAACCAAGGGGGTTCATTTTCCAACCAAGGGGGTTCATTTTCCAACCAAGGGGGTTGTAGTCCTTGTGGAATGAGGGGGTTGTAGTCCTTGTGGAATGAGGGGGTTGTAGTCCTTGTGGAATGAGGGGGTTGTAGTCCTTGTGGAATGAGGGGGTTGTAGTCCTTGTGGAAAATGACTTTTGAGACGTGCGGCAACGAGAGTCACCTCTTGTAGTTCTAGTGGAAAAGGTTGACTCAGTAGTAGCACCATGTCTCCGCCGCCCTCCTTACCCCCCTCACACTCAATGGTTGCATTGGGGGTTGTGTGCAGCTCAATCACTCACTCCCCCACTCTCCCCTCCGCCCTTTCCTCCCTCTCCCTCCCTCTCCCTCCCCTCCCCTCTCCCCTCCCCTCCCCTCCAGTCGTCAAGTGGCGATGCAATATCCAACTACATGTCCACGTTCGACGTATCTTACAGGCCTTCCCTCCCCTTCCCGCCCACCTCACCCCACCCGCTACCTCCCCTCCACCAGTCATCAGGCGGCGGGGCAATATCCGACTACATGTCCACATTCAACGTATCTCACACAGCCTTCCTCAACTCGTCCGTGGTCTACCAGCCCGCCGATTTCATGTCGGGCACGGGGGGATGCGTGCACCTCAACACCACTGCTGCTGCGTCCTTTGCTCACTGCCGCTTCGCGCACTGCTCCTCTTCTATCACCGGTGGCGGGGTGTCATTCTTTCAAGGGGAAGTCAAGCCGCAGTTTCACAACACCACGTTCGAGTTCAACGAGGCTCTCATTCAGGTCGGTTGGATGGGTTGTGAGGTGTTTAATACGGTGGGCTGGCTGGATGAGGCCTCCTTTGCTCTCTCCCCCCCCCGCACATGCCTCCTCTCTTCTCGTCTCTGCTCCTCTATTCTCATGTGCTTCCTCCCCCCGTGCCAACAGGGAGGGGGCATAGAGCTGGTGATGATGAGCGGCCTGGCGAACGTCACAGACTGCACGTTCCGCAGCAACCGGGTCACCAACGGGCCCAGCTTCGGCGCCGCAATCCTCTCCTTCGGCGTGCCGATGCGCGTGGAGAGGAGCTACTTGTGGCGCAATGTGGCTGTCAACACGCTGCCTCCGGGGTCGCAGGCAGCCACGTACCTCACTCAGGGGGGGGCCATTGCAGCGAACATGTTCATGGACGCTACAGTGCCTTATGACATCATCGACTGCACCTTTATTGAGAACCAGGTGGGTGTGAGAGTGAGACTACCATGTAGATGTGGCGGTGCAGGCCAACACGTACCTGACCTCACTCACTCAGGGGGGGGCCATTGCAGCGAACATGTTCATCGACGCTACTGCGCCTTATGACATCATCGACTGCACCTTTATTGAGAACCAGGTGGGTGTGAGAGTGAGACTACCATGTAGATGTGGCGGTGCAGGCCAACACGTACCTGACCTCACTCACTCAGGGGGGGGCCATTGCAGCGAACATGTTCATCGACGCTACTGTGCCTTATGACATCATCGACTGCACCTTTATTGAGAACCAGGTGGGTGTGAGAGTGAGACTACCATGTAGATGTGGCGGTGCAGGCCAACACGTACCTGACCTCACTCACTCAGGGGGGGGCCATTGCAGCGAACATGTTCATCGACGCTACTGTGCCTTATGACATCATCGACTGCACCTTTATTGAGAACCAGGTGGGTGTGAGAGTGAGACTACCATGTAGATGTGGCGGTGCAGGCCAACACGTACCTGACCTCACTCACTCAGGGGGGGGCCATTGCAGCGAACATGTTCATCGACGCTACTGTGCCTTATGACATCATCGACTGCACCTTTATTGAGAACCAGGTGGGTGTGAGAGTGAGACTACCATGTAGATGTGGCGGTGCAGGCCAACACGTACCTGACCTCACTCACTCAGGGGGGGGCCATTGCAGCGAACATGTTCATCGACGCTACAGTGCCTTATGACATCATCGACTGCACCTTTATTGAGAACCAGGTGGGTGTGAGAGTGAGACTACCATGTAGATGTGGCGGTGCAGGCCAACACGTACCTGACCTCACTCACTCAGGGGGGGGCCATTGCAGCGAACATGTTCATCGACGCTACAGTGCCTTATGACATCATCGACTGCACCTTTATTGAGAACCAGGTGGGTGTGAGAGTGAGACTACCATGTAGATGTGGCGGTGCAGGCCAACACGTACCTGACCTCACTCACTCAGGGGGGGGCCATTGCAGCGAACATGTTCATCGACGCTACTGTGCCTTATGACATCATCGACTGCACCTTTATTGAGAACCAGGTGGGTGTGAGAGTGAGACTACCATGTAGATGTGGCGGTGCAGGCCAACACGTACCTGACCTCACTCACTCAGGGGGGGGCCATTGCAGCGAACATGTTCATCGACGCTACAGTGCCTTCTGACATCATCGACTGCACCTTTATTGAGAACCAGGTGGGTGTGAGAGTGAGACTACCATGTAGGTGTGGCGGTGCAGGCCAACACGTACCTGACCTCACTCACTCAGGGGGGGGCCATTGCAGCGAACATGTTCATCGACGCTACTGTGCCTTATGACATCATCGACTGCACCTTTATTGAGAACCAGGTGGGTGTGAGAGTGAGACTACCATGTAGATGTGGCGGTGCAGGCCAACACGTACCTGACCTCACTCACTCAGGGGGGGGCCATTGCAGCGAACATGTTCATGGACGCTACAGTGCCTTATGACATCATCGACTGCACGTGTGTTGAGAACCAGGTGCGTGAAAGAAAGAGACGAGCGTGTGGGCATGGGGTGTGTGTGTGTGCGTGTGAGTGTGTGGGGGGTGTGTGTGTGCGTGTGAGTGTGTGGGGGGTTTGTGTGTGCGTGTGAGTGTGTGGGGGGTGTGTGTGTGCGTGTGAGTGTGTGGGGGGTTTGTGTGTGCGTGTGAGTGTGTGGGGGGTGTGTGTGTGCGTGTGAGTGTGTGGGGGGTGTGTATGTGCGTGTGAGTGTGTGGGGGGTGTGTGTGTGCGTGTGAGGCAGCCACATACCTCACTCAGGGGGGAGCGATCGCTGCGAGTATGTTCATGGACGGTATGGTGGCTTATGACATCATTGACAGCACCTTCATAGAGAACCAGGTGGGTGGTGAGAGAGAGCGTATAACATGTGGACGTGCGGGCATGCGAGCGTGTAGGCTTGTGGGCCTGTGAGCATGCATTTTCCACTGCTCCCGCTCCTTTGCTCATTTGCCACACCACTCTAATCAACATGGGCAAGGCGGCGCCCTGCTTGTGCATTCGAGGCATCTGAGATTTGTTGGTTTCGGCCAATGAAGGCCTTTATCAGCGCACTGTTCGGATCTCCACCGCTCTACTCAAGATGGGCAAGGCGGCGCCTTGTTTGTGGATACGAGGCATGTGCGACTGCAACTGCTCACCTGCCTATGTGTTCCCTGTGGCTCTTTGTTTGTGAGTCGACTCAAAAACAGATTTGTCACACCTCTCCACTCAGGATGGGCGAGGCGGCGCCTTGTTTAGGGATACGAGGCATCTGCTCAGCAGGCGGGGCTCAACAGGCTCTGTATGCGGACACGGGGCATCTGCAAGTGCTCAACTGCCTCTTTCTATCCCCTCTCCTCCCCTTTGCTTCCCTGTTCCTGCTGCCACGCAGGGCGGGCAAGGCGGGGCATTGTACGTGGACACGGGGCATCTGCAAGTGCTCAACTGCCTCTTTCTCCGCAACGGAGACCACTCTGAATGCTCCCTGGGTGGCGCTAGTGAGTCCCACCCTCTCCCCTGCCAGCCAGTGTGTTGCTAGTGAGGGGTCCTGGGTAGTGGGTTGCAGCCCTGCTGGGGTGGTGCTGGTAAGTTTCAGCCCTTCTGGCCTCCATGTAGTGAGTGAGGCTCTGGTGACTCACCACACAACTCCTCTCTCCCTCCCCGCTGGTACCAGTGAGTCATCTCCGTGCTAGTGTTGGTATCGAGTGAGAACTCAACTGTCTCTTCCCTCGCAGCGGAGACCACTCCGAATGCTCCCTGGGTGGTGCCATGGAGCTACAATCCTGCTGCACGTTGAGTCGACTCAAAACATACCTGCGCTGCACACCCCTTCCTTGTCCACGCCCCAACATACAACATCCCCTTCCTTCATATTTCCTACAACATACATAGGCTAGAAGTGTAGCACGTTTATAAATTGGGGGGTTGCTTAGTGTACCCTCCAACCACATTTTGTGGTTGGTTGGGATTGGTCCTTAGCTCAACCAATCCCAACCAACACACATTTGTGGTTGCTTGAGTCACAAGCAAACTCACCCATTGGCCAACTTATTGGCCAATAGGGTAAGCTTCCCTCTCATCTCTCTCTTGCTCATTGTTTGTACTAAAGAGCCTCTTGGCTCATTATTCAATGTATCAATTCTAGCTTTCCAACACTCCCCCTCGCGCCCCTACGTGCAGTGACATCGCGAGCACGAACGGTAGTAGACAACTGCACGTTTTTGGACAATAAAGCACAAGACCAGGGCGGAGCGCTGCACTTCCTGCCTTACGAAACCCTCAACGTCTCTCGCTCGCGCTTCCAAGGAAACTCCGTGCTCAAGCAGAACGGCGGGGCTATTCACGTGCTCGGGGTGAGTTGTGAGCTGGTAGGTAATGGAGCAAGAGGCGATTCGTGAGTTAAGAGTGCAGTTAAACAGTGTCTACCTCTCCCTCTTTTGAGACGTCTCATAAGCCCTCCCCCTCGTGCTTCCAAGGGAGCTCCGTGGTCTACGGGAATGGCGGGGCTATTCACATGCTCGGGGTGAGTTGTTGTGATTGTTGTTAACGTGTGTGAGGTGAGTTGAGGGTTGCACGTAGGAGAGGCTATCAGGCTAATTCACATGCTCGGGCTATCAGCACTTCATGCCGTGCGAGCGCCTCTCCCCGTTTTGAGTCGACTCAAAAATGTGTGAGGTGAGTTGAGGGTTGTACGTAGGTGAGCCTCAGGCTATCAGCACTTCATGCCGTGCGAGTGCCTCTCCTCTCCATCTCGCTTCCAAGGAGACTCGGTGGCTTCTTGCTTGCATACCTGCATGCTCCCTTGTGGTTGAGATTAGTTGGTTTCGAATTGCAGCAAGCCTACTAAGAGTAGCAATCTATAGTACTCAGCCTACTGTAATAGCAATCTCGGTGGCTTCTTGCACACCTGCACGCTCTCTTGCACACCTGCACGCTCTCTTGCACACCTGCACGCTCTCTTGCACACCTGAGATGCATCAGTGTTCACTTGCACGCATTTGCACTCACTTTCACCCACTCCCTCACCCCTGCAGGGCATGGGGGCGGTGAGAGTGGAGAGCAGCACATTTGTGAGAAGCAGGGCAGAGTGGTCCAAGTGAAGCGCCCTGTACAGTGAGCGAGACTTGAGATGCCTCAAGCTTAACCCTTCACTCCCACCCACTCCCTCATACCTACAGGGCACAGGGGCGGTGACAGTGGAGAGTAGCACATTCATGAGAAGCAGGGCAGAGCGGTCCAAGTGAAGCGCCCTGTATAGCGAGTCTCAAGATGTCTCAATGTTCATTTCTGCACTCCCACGCATCTGCACTCACTTTCACCCACTCCCTCACCCCTGCAGGACACGGGGGCGGTGCGGGTAGAGAGCAGCAGATTCGTGGGCAACAGGGCAGAGCGGTCCAAGGGAGGCACTTTGTACAGCGAATCTCAAGATGTCTTGATGCTCATTTCTGCACTCCCACACATTTGCACTCACTTTCACACACTCGTGCGCACTCGCACTCACCTACAGGGCACGGGGGCGGTGAGGTGAGGGTGGAGAGCAGCACATTCGTGGGCAACAGGGCGGAGAGGTCCAAGGGAGGCGCCCTGTACAGCGAGCAAGTCTTGCCCAAACGATGCCTCAATGCTCATCCCTTCGCTCCTTCTTACTCCCTCACTCCTGCAGGGCACGGGGGCGGTGCGGGTAGAGAGCAGCACATTCGTGGGCAACAGGGCAGAGCGGTCCAAGGGAGGCGCCCTGTACAGCGAGTCGGTGTCTGTCACCTTCGATAATGTCACTCTGGACGGGAACACGGCGGCACTGCAGGGAGGCGCGGTGGCTGGTGAGTGGATGCACGGTAGTGCTTTATGGCAAGTATCTCAAGCGTCTGGTCTTATTTTGGATGCCAACATGGCGCCCACGGCGCTGCAGGGAGGAGCGGCGCGGTGGCAGGTGAGTGAATGCACGGCGCCACGTGACGACACTTGAGTGAATGCACGGCGCCACGTGACGACACTTGAGTGAATGCACGGCGCCACGTGACGACACTTGAGTGAATGCACGGCGCCACGTGACGACACTTGAGTGAATGCACGGCGCCACGTGACGACACTTGAGTGAATGCACGGCGCCACGTGACGACACTTGAGTGAATGCACGGCGCCACGTGACGACACTTGAGTGAATGCACGGCGCCACGTGACGACACTTGAGTGAATGCACGGCGCCACGTGACGACACTTGAGTGAATGCACGGCGCCACGTGACGACACTTGAGTGAATGCACGGCGCCACGTGACGACACTTGAGTGAATGCACGGCGCCACGTGACGACACTTGAGTGAATGCACGGCGCCACGTGACGACACTTGAGTGAATGCACGGCGCCACGTGACGACACTTGAGTGAATGCACGGCGCCACGTGACGACACTTGAGTGAATGCACGGCGCCACGTGACGACACTTGAGTGAATGCACGGCGCCACGTGACGACACTTGAGTGAATGCACGGCGCCACGTGACGACACTTGAGTGAATGCACGGCGCCACGTGACGACACTTGAGTGAATGCACGGCGCCACGTGACGACACTTGAGTGAATGCACGGCGCCACGTGACGACACTTGAGTGAATGCACGGCGCCACGTGACGACACTTGAGTGAATGCACGGCGCCACGTGACGACACTTGAGTGAATGCACGGCGCCACGTGACGACACTTGAGTGAATGCACGGCGCCACGTGACGACACTTGAGTGAATGCACGGCGCCACGTGACGACACTTGAGTGAATGCACGGCGCCACGTGACGACACTTGAGTGAATGCACGGCGCCACGTGACGACACTTGAGTGAATGCATACATGCCAAGGATGTATGGTCAGTGAGTGAGCAAGACTGATGATAGACAGGCGACTCGAGAGTCTGATCTCGTTTCAGCCCGTGCCCTTTCCTTCTCCACATTGCACTCCCCTCCTCCCCCATGCAGTCTATGCCTCTCTCCCCTCCTCCCCCATGCAGTCTATGCCTCTCTCCCCTCCTCCCCCATGCAGTCTATGCCTCTCTCCCCTCCTCCCCCAAGCAGTCTATGCCTCTCTCCCCTCCTCCCCCATGCAGTCTATGCCTCTCTCCCCTCCTCCCCCATGCAGTCTATGCCTCTCTCCCCTCCTCCCCCATGCAGTCTATGCCTCTCTCCCCTCCTCCCCCATGCAGTCTATGCCTCTCTCCCCTCCTCCCCCAAGCAGTCTATGCCTCTCTCCCCTCCTCCCCCATGCAGTCTATGCCTCTCTCCCCTCCTCCCCCATGCAGTCTATGCCTCTCTCCCCTCCTCCCCCAAGCAGTCTATGCCTCTCTCCCCTCCTCCCCCATGCAGTCTATGCCTCTCTCCCCTCCTCCCCCATGCAGTCTATGCATCCAGCAGCGACAGCCTGCATACAGAAGCGCTCTTCAAAGCATGCTGCTTCGAGTTTTTTGAGACGTCTCAAAACTTTCCCACACATTCCCCCTCTCCCCTCCTCCCCCGTTCCAGTCTATGCATCCAGCAGTGACGGCTTGCCAACCGAAGCACTCTTCAAGTCATGCCGCTTCGTGCGCAACGAGGCGGTGCTTGGGGGAGGTGCTATCTACACGGGGCTGGGCATGCACACGCGCGTGCACGCGTGTGAGGTGGAGGAAAACAACAGCACGGGGCTGGGCGGTGCTGTGCTCGTGCAGGAGTTTTCCCGGGTTGAGATGACTCGCACGCGCTGTCATGGGAACATGTGAGTGGGATGAGGCGATTCGGTTAGCATGTGATGCGAGTCTGATGATCTGATCTGATCTGATCTGATCTGATCTGATATACAGAAGCATGGGGTTGGGCATGTGCAATGCAACGAGGCAGTACTTGGGGGAGGTGACAACAGCACGGGGCTGGGCTGGGCGGCGCTGTGCTCGTGCAGGAGTTCTCCCGGGTTGAGATGACTCGCACACGGTGCCAAGGGAACATGTGAGTGAGCTGACATGTCATGTAATGGAGATGACACAGGGGCATGAGATGAGAGTGAGATGACAAGACATGAGAGTCTGAGATGGGATCGTGGCATGTGAGGATGCATGAAACAGAGTGTTTCTTTTCATTCTGAGAGCGCCTCTGTCTTTCCTCTCTCTCATCCCCCCATTTTCCCTCACAGCCCTGACTGGCTGTGCCTGCCTCTCCCTCCTCGCCAACGCCCATGCCACAGTCACCGACTCAGTCCTTCAAGCCAACCACCATGGCACCTGTGAAGGGGGGGGGCACCGCTGTCTTTGCCGAACAATCGGCAACTTTATTTTATACTTCTACTGCTCACCCTCCCATCTCCCTCTAGAGCTTTGACAGGTGGCACCTGCCTCTCCCTCCTCGCCAACGCCCATGCCACAGTCACCGACTCAGTCCTTCAAGCCAACCACCACGGCACCTGTGAAGGGGGGGGGCACCGCTGTCTTTGCCGAACAATCGGCAACTTTTTTATATACTTCTACTGCTCACCCTCCCATCTCCCTCTAGAGCTTTGACAGGTGGCGCCTGCCTCTCCCTCCTCGCCAACGCACACGCCACGGTCACCAACTCAATCCTTTCAGCCAACCAGGGCACCAGCGAGGGGGGAGCAGCGCGTGTCAGCGGCAGCGCGCACCTCTCCCTCCTCTCCTCCTCCATCCTCCAAAACACTGCAGCCTGGGGCGGCGCCGTCTGGGTGGAAATGGGCGCTTCTTTGCTCATCTCAAACAACTCAAAGCTGGAAGGGAACGAGGCGAGGTATCTGGGCGGGACAGTGTATGCGACGCACGTGTCCCGGGTGGAAGTGCAAGGCGGGAGTGTGTTTCGGGGAAACTCGGCCCTGCATGGAGGTGCTATGGTTGTAGAGGCAGAGGCGAGAGTCACAGCAGCCGATTCTACGTTTGAAAACAACACCTTTTCAGGGATTTTATTCCAAGGGTTTTCCCAGGGGGTTCTGCGGAACTGTAGCTTCATGCGGAATTCCAACGCGGCTGGGCGGGGTGGCGCGGTGCTGGTTGGAGACAAGACGACCGTCGCCGTCCACTCTTGCAGCTTTTCCGGGAACTGGGCGGCGCTGGGCGGCGCGGTGAGCACCGAAGGCAGCCCGTACCTCACAATCAACGGCTCAGATTTCACGAGGAACATCGCGCAGATCGGCGCAGGGGTTGCCCTAGCAGGCGCCACCGCTTTCACCATGGGAGAGTCTGTGTTTACTAAGAATAATGCGACTAAGGCGGGAGGGGGAGTGGCTGTACTGGAGCAGGTGGAGGGGGAGATCTCAGGGTCGAGATTTGAGGGGAACTATGCGGTGGTGGGCGGTGCAGGGGTGTACTTGATGCGATCTGCTGCTGCTACTGCTGCAGCAGCAGGTGGTAACAGGCCTTCTAGGGTTGGTGCTTCTGCATCTGCTCCTGGTCGAGCTAAGAGTGCCAGAGGGCGGATTGCGCTCGCCAGTAGTAGCAGAGACAGCAGCACCGGCGGCAGCAGCAGTAGCAGCAGCAGAGGCAGTGGTGTAGGGGCAGCAACATCTGCTGCTGCTTTTACCCCAAATGGCACCTCCACCAGTAGCACCTCCTCCTCTTCCTCGTTCTCCACCAATCAGGTGCGACTGCAAGGCCTGCTGTTTGACGGCAACAGTGCCATGGACGCCCATGGAGTGGCCTTCTTCGATGCTTCCTACAGCCCCCACCTGCGCTCCGCCTGCCAGGCCTGCCAGATGGTGCAGCAGGGGGACACGGAAGGCAGCATGCCGGCGGACTTTTATCTCAAGTGAGTGCGCTTGTGAAGAGTACATTTTGAGGCACCTCATAGAATCTTTCCCTACAGTCCGCTGCTGCAGGCTGCCTGCCATGCCAGGCCTGTCAGATGCTGCATCTGGCCTGGAGGACTCAGGGAAGCATGCCAGCTGACTTCTACCTTATTTCAGTGCGCTTCTAAAGAAAACAGTAAAGAATACACACTTTTTGAGGCACCTTCAAAACAGCTTCCTAAAGGCCCCCCCATCTGCACTCCGCCTGCCAGGCCAGCCTGTAACCCTCCTACCTCCTCCCCCCTCCCATTTCACCTTTTGATACGTGCAATGCTTCTCGCCGTGCCGCCCTCTCAACCCTCTTCCAGATGGCCTGGGGCGGCAATGTCGTCGCAGGAGACAGGTGGCAGATTCTCAGTGGTGGGCTCGGTGGGCTCCATGCTGACAGGGCTGCAGGTGGTGGTGGTGGACGAGTTTGGGAACATCGTGTCCAAGGTGAGGAAGGAAAGGCCTACACTTAGATTTGATTTATTGGTGTGAGCAGCATACAGGGATGTTGCCACATATATACAGTATGTGTAATGAATATGTAACATGCGATACAATACATATTATATTCTACATACTATTTATTATGTTATATATAGTATATGATGTATATATATATATGCATAGAGATGTCAAAGCAGGTGGTGTTGTTGCAGGCGGTGGGTGGTGGACGGGTTCCGAAGCATCCCTGCCAAGGTAAGGTAAGTAATGGGCACAATTTCACTCAAATCATTAAATGTACGGGATGGTCGCATCAGCGGGGTGCTAGGGGGCATTCTCAACACTCACCGCAACCAACCCCTCTCCTGAGTCCGCTCCTTCTACTCCCTTCGCTCCCCCTCCTCCACCCACCACCACCACGGCGACTCCGCTTTCGCCTGTGTTTTTACTGACAGCCGCATCAGTGGGTCCCTATGGGACACATCCCATTGGGACGATCCTAGAGGCATCATCACTCCCTCTCCCTCTCCCCTCCTCCTGCCCCCACCATCCCACACCATGCCACCAGGACAACTCCGCCCTGGCCCGCGTCTCCCCGGACAGTTTCATCAGCGAGCGGGTCGCTACGCGGCAGCACATTCCAGGGCGGCGTAGTGGTGATCACAGTGGTTCACCGTACCTTTGAGGCGCCTCAACAGTGGTTCACCATACCCTCTCCAAACCCCCTCCTCCCTCCCGCGCTCTCCTACTGCCCCCACCCCACCAGGACAACTCCGCTTTGGCCCGAGTCTCCCCTGACAGCCGCATCAGCGGTTCCCTACGGGGCACCTCTCAGGGCGGCATCATCACAGTGCCGCCCATTGCCGTCCGCGTGCCCCCGGGCGGCGCGCTACAGCCGATAGCTCTCACCGTCACCGTCTCCTCCACCACCAACGCCTTCCCGGACTTCTCCCACCCCTTCAACATTTCCTTCTGCCCGGCCGGGCAGTATTTTGACGGCGAAAGCTTCAGCTGCCAGGACTGCCCCGTGGGCCACTGGTGGGTTTAGCCTTCTGCCTTTTCCCTGCAACACTAGAGTCGGTGTAGAGTGCGTGTGTGTGGGGGGTGGGGAGGGGAGGGGGGGGGGGGCGGTGGGGGAGAAAAGCGGGAGGGGTGGTGTGTGCGTGTGTGTCTGCTGCTCTTGGGATGTGTGCTGGGGCGCCAAAAGAAGAGTTTGTGTGGTTCATGTGCTTGAGTGTTCTCCTCCAGCTCTTGATTCTCCATCAACTCAAGTCCCCCTTTGCCTCCTCGAATCCCCTCTTCTCCCTCTAACCTCAGGTGCGCACCAGGGAAGGGCATGGCGACGTGTCCAGACGGCACCTTCACCTTGTTCCGAAATGCCGCTTCAATGCTATGAGTTCCCTCTTTCCGTGGCCCATACTCCCCTCTTTCCGTGGCCCATACTCCCCGCCCTCCCATTTCATCCCCCTGCCTCACCACCACAGCTGTGCTGTGCGCCAGGCCAGGGCATGGAGACGTGTCCAGACCGTGCCTTCGCCTTCTTCCCCAATGCCCCTTCAATGCAATCAGGTCTCTATTTTTGTGGCTCGCCCCCCTTCCCTTACTCCCCACCTTCCCTCACCTCCCCTCAGGTGTGCACCAGGCCAGGGCGTGGAAAAGTGTCCAGACGGCACCTTCACTTTCTTCCCCAACGCAGTGTCACAGGAGCAGTGCACGGCGTGTGACGACGACAGCTTGGACTGCCGCTATGGCACGCTGGAGGTGGGTGGGTTGCAGTGGGTGAGAGTGTGTGCTGTGTGAGGTGGGATATGCAACGGCATACAGGAGCAGTGCATGGCGTGTGACGATGGCAGCTTGGACCTGGACTGCCGCTCCGGCACGCTGCAGGTGTGTGCGAGTGAGTCAGTGGCGTATTGTGTGGTTGAGAGGCCTTCTATGACAAGAAGCAGGAGCAGTGCAGTGCACGGCATGTGACGATGACAGCCGTAACTGCCACTACGGCACCCGCTGCAGGTGAAGACTATTTCTGAGTCGACTCAAAAATAGACTCACTACGCGTGTGACGGTGACAGCCTTAACTGCCGCTATGGCACGCTGCAGGTGAAGACGGCCGGGGAAGAGATGTACCCTCCAACCCAACTGCCTGGCCTATTGAAATCACTTTTGGCGTCACCGTCAAAAGTGATTTCAATATTTCAGGTGAAGACGGCTGTGGACGAGATGTACCCTCTAACTGCCTGCCCTCGTTAACCTCCTACCTCCCACGCCCTTCCATCATCCCCCCCGCTCCCCTCCCTTCAGATCTCATACCAGAACTGGCTGGACCCAGCGTCTCTCAACCGCACGCCCGCCACCTATGCATGTCTCCTCACTGTCCGAGGGATGCTCTGGCACCACCTATACATGTCGCTGGTGTAACCTCCAACTGTCTGCTCTCATTAACCTCCTACCTTTCACGCCCTTCCATCATCCCCCCCGCTCCCCTCCCTTCAGATCTCATACCAGAACTGGCTGGACCCAGCGTCTCTCAACTCCACGCCCACCACCTATGCGTGCCTGCTCACTGAGGGATGCTCTGGCACCACCTACACGGGCCCCAACACCACGCAGTGTGCCGTGGGATACAACAACACCGTGCCGTGAGTGTGTTCAGTGGGGTATTGGGGTTTTGGGGTAGTGGTTGCAATCAAGGCCCTGGCACCACCTATACAGGCCCCAACACCACGCAGTGTGCCGTGGGATATAACAACATCGTGCCGTGAGTGTGTGGGCAGATGGGCAGTTAGTAATTGACATGAAGGAGGGCCTGCTTTGGCACCACCTACGGCCCCAACACCACGCAGTGTGCCATGGGATATAACAACATCGTGCCGTGAGTGTGTGGGCAGATGGGCAGTTAGTAATTGACATGAAGGAGGGCCTGCTTTGGCACCACCTACGGCCCCAACACCACGCAGTGTGCCGTGGGATATAACAACATCGTGCCGTGAGTGTGTGGTGTTGTTAGGCTGTGCTGAAACCGCGCCTACATGGTCCTACCAACACACACGGCACCAACACCACACAGTGTGCCGTGAGTGTGTGGGCAGTGGGGGGGGAATTATTGCAATGACGGATCAGCTGTTGTGGTGCCACGTATACATGGCCCAACACGATGCAGTGTGCCGTGGGATATAACAACTCCATGCCGTGAGTGTGTGGGCAGATGCGTTGTAATGATTGCTGCAATGAAAGGAAATCTGCTCTGGCACCATCTATATACATGTCTTCTCACCGAGGGATCCCCTGGCACCACCTATACAGGCCCCAACACCACGCAGTGTGCCGTGGGATATAACGACACCATGCCGTGAGTGTGTGGGTAGTTGGGCAATTAGCAATTGACATGAAGGGTAGGCTGCTCTGGCACCACCTACGGGCCCAACACCACGCAGTGTGCTGTGGGATGCAGCAACACTATGCCGTGAGTGTGTGGGTACTGGAGGTGGTACGAAGGTACATACATGAATATACTGAAGGCACCACCTACACAGGCCCCAAGTGTTAGAATTGAACTGATAGCTTGATTAGGAATGCTGCGGGTTTACATAGTTGGATCTAGGGAAGGGGGGGTTGGTTGGGTACCTAGTCAACATTATTGGCCCCGCACCAATAAGTTGGGTTGGAGAATTATTGGGGGGTCCCAGTAATGTTGGTCAAGGTGAGTCAACATTATTGGGGGGGGCAATAATCTCCTAACCCAACCTTGGGGGCCAATAATTGGACCAAGGTTGGGTTCCAACCCCCAACTAGGGTTAACCCTAGTTGTGCACCCAAACATAGTTTGGGTGCCTATCTCTATCCTAGGGTTTATAGGATCAATGCAGGATACAGAAGAGTAGTATAATCTAACACCAACACCACCGATTGTGCGGTGGGATGCAGCAACACTGTGCCGTGAGTGCATGGGGTAGGGGAGGGGTTTGCTTGACCATAGTTTTTGGAGGAGTGACAAGGTGGTGATTGCAGTCAAGGTAAGCTGGCCCCGACACCACGCAGTGTATGATGTATGATGTATGATGTATGATGCATGATGCATGATGCAACAACTTTGTGTCACTGAGTGCATGCTGAGTGTGTGTCAGTGAATGCACGCTGAGTGTGTATCATTGTTAAGTAGTGCTGCTGCAGCCGTGCCTACCAGGCCAGGCCCCTACCCTACCCACATGCCAGCACCTACGCAGGCCCCAACTCCACGCAGTGTGCTGTGAATTGCAAACAACAGCACACTGTGAGTGCATAGTGCTAAGGGGGTGGGTGTGCGAGATTGTGAAGTAGTGCCGCAAATTCTAAAGAGATATTGATATCCTTGACCCACAATTCCACTCCCCTCCCGGCATACCCCTCATAGCAAAACCTGCTGCAAGTGCACACCCACTTGATCTCGCTCATCCCCCTCTGCTCCTCACCCGCTGCTCCTCACCCGCTGCTCCTCACCCGCTGCTCCTCACCCGCTGCTCCTCACCCGCTGCTCCTCACCTGCTGCTCTTCACCCGCTGCTCCTCACCTGCTGCTCCTCACCCACTGCTCCTCACCCGCTGCTCCTCACCCGCTGCTCCTCACCCACTGCTCTTCACCCGCTGCTCCTCACCTGCTGCTCCTCACCTGCTGCTCCTCGCCCGCTGCTACTCACCCGCTGCTCCTCACCCGCTGCTCCCCACCTGCTGCTCCTCACACGTGGACAATGCATACCTGCTGCTGCAGTTGTGCATTTCGACTAGCACAGCACGTGCTTGCTGCCTCACGTGCTTGCTGCCTCACGTGCTTGCTGCCTCCTGCCCCCCGCTTCTCCCCACTTCTCTCTGCGCTACCTCTTTTTCTTATGTGCGTGTGCTGTGCTGTGCTGTGCTGAGCTGTGCGTGTGCTGTGCTGTGCTGTGCTGTGCTGTGCGTGTGCTGTGCTGTGCTGTGCTGTGCTGTGCTGTGCTGTGCTGTGCTGTGCTGTGCTGTGCTGTGCTGTGCTGTGCTGTGTGGTGCCTTGCTGCGCTCTGTGCTGCGTGCATGCAGCATGTGCTCCTCATGTGCAGACGGCTACTACCTCGTGCTGCAGTTGCAGTAGGAAAGACACCTACTGAGTCAACCCTGGCCTCCCTCTCTTGTTTGCCGTGCTGTCTGCTGTGCTGCGTGCATGCAGCATGTGCTCCTCATGTGCGGATGGCTACTACCTCGTGCTGCAGTACTGCGAGCAATGCACGGCTGCACTCAAATCAGTGAGTCTCAACTCGGCAACTCAACACACCATGCAACGCAAACGTGAAATGATCACTCACGAACACGCACCAATTTTTCGGGTCTTGCAGCTTACGCCATTTGTCAACAGCAAAACGACCTCTGAAACTCCTCTCCCTGACCTGTGAAGTTTGAAGAGAAAGGAAAAGTTGGTTTAGGAAGTCCAGAGGTATATATGTAGCAGTGGGAGTAGTAACGAAGTTCTTGACATTGCAGCGTTTTTTTTTTTTTTTTTTTTTTTTTTTTTTTTTTTTTTTTTTTTTTTTTTTTTTTTTTTTTTTTTTTCCCTAAAAAAATCCCTGCAATGTCAAAGAATAGTGGGATTAGAGAGTCGAGAGGTAAATATAGAAGAGGAAAAAAGGAAGGGAGAAACGGAAGGGGTGGTGGTTGGGTTCTTGAGTGAATTTTGAGAATTCTCAAAAGAAACGGAAGAGGTGGTGGTAGTTGGGTTCTTGGCCTGGAATTTTGGCCCTCACCAATGAGATGGGTTGAAGAATTAATGGAGGGCCTCAATAATCTTGGTTAAAATTCAGCCAAGATTTTTGGGGTTTCAATAATCTCCCACCTAACCTTCTAGGCTAGATAATATGGCCATGGTTCAGTTCCCAACCCCCAGCTTGGGTAAACCCTAGTTGTGCACCCAAATAAAGTATGGGTGGCTATCTCTTCCCAAGCTAATTTAGGATACATGCAGCATACAAGAGGAGTAGTAACCTGATACGACCCACCCCCTCCCCACCAGGTTTTTCCGTGACTATTTATCACAGTGCTAGTGGTGTGGGTGGCAATGAACATGCTGGCAGACACCTTTGCAGCCATGGACATCTTTCCCAGCGAGGTGCAGCTGCTCCTTCTCTCAACTCCTCTCCCCTTCTGCCCTCTCATCCCCCTTGCACCCTCATCCCCCTTGCACCCTCATCCCCCTTTGCAGCCACGGACATCTCTCTCCTTGCACCAGCTGTTTCTCAACCCTCCCCCCCTTCTCCCTCTCCCTCTCAACCCCAGGTGTTCCCCCTACTGTTCATCATAATTCTCATCGTGTGGGAGGCAATGAACATGCAGGTAGACACCTTTGCAGCCATGGACATCTTTCCTACCGAGGTGCAGCTGCTCCTTCTCTCAACCCCTCTCCCCTTCTGCCCTCCCATTTCCCTCTCTCTCCCACCTCCCTCTCCCTCTTCCCCCACTCTCCTCTCCCTCTTCCCCCCCAGGTGTTCCCCCTTCTGTTCATCATAATTCTCATCGTGTGGGTGACGATGAACATGCTGGCAGACACCTTTGCAGCCATGGACATTTTCCTTATTGAGGTGCAGCTGCTCGCCATGGTCGCCAACTTCAACCTCAACTTCCCCGCCTCCTGGGTCAAGACCGTCGTGCTGCTATACAACATCGCTGCGTTTGATCCCGTGAGTTTTCCTGCCGTTGTCACTGTGAGTGGCTCTCAAAGATGGGTCAAGTCAAGACTGTCGTAAGAAGCGCTGACTTTTTTGGTGGACTTCAAAATCTTGAGTCAAGATTCGAGTCATGCTACTCTACAACTTTTGGCGTGCAGACTTTGATGAGGATTTTAAAAATTTCAGCATTTCGTGGACTCAACAGTCGGTCATGAATGATGGTTGACGACGCCGCGATGGTCGAGACTTTTGAGTCGACTCAAAAGTCAACTCGGTGATGATGGTTGACAGTCATGCTGCTTTACAAGCTCAACTCAAAGAGCGGGGCAAGACCGCCGTGCTACATGTCAGTGTCTCTGCTTTCATCACAATGAGCGACCCTTGTTGTAGTCTAGTCGCAATATGTTTGGATGTGCCTAATACGAAGGCTAGAGTGCACGTACAGATGCAGCAACAAATCGTGTGTTTTGAACCCGCAAGCCAAGAAGTTCAACAGTAGGAAGGTTGGTCGGGGCGTGCATTACAATTGGTCAAGATTTTGGGTGCCAGGGTCACACTCAACCGAAGCTAGGAAGGTTGGACCAATTTGGGCTTTCTTGGCCTGCGGGTTTTAATTGCACACAGTGTTTCATTATGGCCTTCGATTGGCAAGTTGAATTTCAATTGGCCGCGCTGTTGGAATCAAGGGATGAAGGTATGGTACAGAGTTCTGAAATTAATTTGAAATTGAAATGTCTTCCCGCCTCTACAAACCCCCAAATACGAGGTTCAGGATTGTGAAAAGATTGCATGTTCTTTTCAACTACATATTATCTACCGTTTTCGCCATCTTGATGATTGCCGTCATGGTATGATCCAGGTATAGTTTATTCTTTCTTAGAATTCTAATTTAAGTCTCCATAACGAAGTTTAGGGCTTGCATTACTCCCCTCTTGCATGCTGAACGTTCGACAAACCAAAAAAGAAAGTGCACATAGCGCTCACACGGTGTGTCAACATGTGACTAGAAAAAGGGGTCTGGACACGCACATACAACACTATGGTTCGCCACACAATCTGCGTGAAATGAGCCGTGTTCTGAGTTGACAAAATGAGAAGGCTCTCGACAGGCACACACAACACTATGCTTCGCCACACAAACACTGATAACAAAATTTTTTGAGCTCGCATATGATGACATTCCATACAAAACTTTTTGAGCTCGCATATGATGACATTCAACACTATGCACGTACACAAGGACAACAATACGAGTTCAAAACATGCAGTTGCACCAACAAGCGTGACAGAAAAAAATGTCGTTCCAAACTTGTTAGTAGAAATGAAAGCCCGCAAGTGGGTGGCCATTAGGATGCTCGAAGGTATACAGTACTTCGAGCAAATTAGGGTTCTTACTTGGTTGTTGGAATCAAGTGGGGTCAAAACCCCTAACTACTTATAATCAAGTGCATTGCTGCCTTGCTCCAACATGATACGAGTCTGCACCCTACTGTGTTACATGCACGCACCTCCTACCGTGAACTTTTACCCCCTGGCACTTCCTGCCGTGATTGGAGCATCAACAGTTACAAATCACCTGACCTCCCCACTTCTTATCTCTTCATTTCTCTCCCCCCTCCCCTTCTTTCTCCCGCAACCTCATCCCTCCCCGCCTCCACTCATCTTCCCCTTAGCAGGACATCATCGGGCCAGAATGCATGTCCACTTCTCCTTGCAGTTCACGGGTCGAGTTCTTTCCAGATCTCCTCTCCGCATTACATCTCTCCTCACAACTTTTTCCTTCCTCTACTCCCCCCCCCCCCCCCTCTCCCCCCCCTCCCGACAGGACATCATCGGGCCAGAGTGCGTGTTCTCCCTGCAGTTCACGGGCAAATTCTACGCCACCCTTCTCATCCCCGTTATAGGCCTCCTCATTTACGCGCTCGTGTTTGCGCACCACCGCTGGCTGGGCGGCTCATTCTTCGTGCGCGTGCACTCGTGGCAGCGCAAGGAGCGCCAGCGGCAGCGCCTGGCGCTGCAGCGCTCTGTAACGAAGCGGCGGGCTTATAACGAGTATGAGAACTCGATTGTGCACGCGTCGCTCAAGTGGCTGGACATTTGCTACACATCTGTGATGGTCAAAGTGCTGGAAGTCTTCAAGGTGAGGAGGGCTTTGAAGTGATAAGGGTGACCATGTGATGGTGTTGCATCGTTTTTTTAGGTGCCTAAAAAAGCTCAAGTAGCTGGACATTTGCTACACGTCTGTGATGGTCAAAGTGCTTGAATTCTTCAAGGGGAGGGGGGCTTTAAGGCGAGGCAAGGGTGACAGGTTTGACATGCGCATGTGATGGTGTTACTTCTTTTTTAATGCCGAAGGAAACTCCTGTGGTTGGACATTTGCTACACGTCTGTGATGGTCAAAGTGCTTGGAGTCTTCACGGTGAGGAGGGTTTTAAGGTAAGGCAAGGGCGAGAGGGCTTGCCTTGAGCATGTGATGGTGTTACACCTGTTTACCTGGTCACGCTGGTAACCGCCGTGCTGCTCTCAGAAATCAAAGCCTCCCTCACTCACCCATCCCCGTTGCCCTTTCTTCCCCGTTCCTCATGCAGTCCCAGTAGATAGGCACAGCAACAATGATGGCAGCAGCACTGTTGATTCTCACCACGTACTCCCTCCCCCCACCACCACCCCTCGCATCCCTCTTCCCCTTCCCCCGTGCAGTCCCAGGACATCGGCACAGCTACAGTGATGGCTGCAGCACCGCAGATTGAGTGGCTGTCATCAGCCCACGTGGGTATGCTGGTTACCGCAGTGCTGGTTACGGTGGTGTACCTGGTGGGGCTGCCTCTGTTGTTCGCTGGGGTGTTGGTGGATGCTCATACGTGCGATGTGCTCTCCTCTACGCTCTTCAAGCAGCGCTTTGGCTGGCTCACCGAGCGCTTCCGACCCAAATTCTGGTGGTGAGTGGCGCAGTGATTATGAGGAATGGTCCTCATGCAGTAGGCCACTATTGCGAGTAGTGCTGGTTGGTGTGCGAATGTGCGAGCAGTGGGTCGGGCTTATTCCCATACCCCCGGAATTGGGTGCTGCATTGGGCTTGTTCCACAAGCCCTATTCTCCATCATCGGATCTCCCATTCCCTTGCTCTCCCTCCACGGCTACTTCTCACAGGTGGCACCTGACGAACATAGGCATGAGGGTGCTGCACGGATGTATCCTCGTGTTCTTGCAACAAGAAACCGAGTCACAGGTAAGTGAATGGAAAAAGACCCTTAGCGCATGATAGCACTCCCATAGCCTCCCCCATTGCTTGGAATCATGCTGCTTTCTTCTATCCCATGCTGCATGGGTGCATCCTCGTGTTCCTGCAGCAAGAAACTTGATCACAGGTAATTGCTTCGATGCATACGCACCCGTACCTTATAATCACCCATTGTTTTAGGTTCCTTTCCCAAGGCAGATTGATGATGCTAAGAAAAATAGGGGTCAAAATAACTCAAAATCGTTGGACTAAGTTACTGAACAGGAATGTCGACTTCACAAGAAATGCCGTCTACAAAAAGTTGACCGTTAGAACTTCACCAATTTCAGATATATTGTAGCTCTAGACCGTGGGTACAATTCTCAATTTGAATCGCAAAAAAAACTGAAGTAAATTTTGACTTATGAATATCGACGCATTGAAGGGTATGCTGGAACTGAAACTTAACTCAAACTCAAATGTTCAACCCAGTGGCACACAATGATTTAGAGTAGCAGGAACCAGGTAGGAGAGGATGAGAGAGAAGATCCCAAGGGAGTCTCCAACCAAGGAAACCCCATAAGCACCAAAAATTCATTCCGTATAAGAACCCAACTTTCACCCTTGTTTTTTGTTTAGTTGGAAAAAACGCAAGTTTGACGTTGCGTATTGAGTTTATACGCATCTAAAATTCGTACGCTGCCTATTTTTCTAAAATTCGCCAAATTTCTCTCGGGCTGACCGGGAAAAAAAAATCAGTTGTGTTCGCGAGTATCGGAATTCAGATTTGAGATCACGAATTGCAAATGCAACCTCAGATCTGAATTTTGAAACCGTTTGGTGAATCGTCCCCTCCTATCAACCGCTCAACAACCCATTCCAACCACATCGATTACCAATGCCTTCCAATTTTGTTGCCAACTTCAACCAGACTCATCCTCCCCGCTCAATGTCAGGTCGTTTTTCCCTTCGATCCCCTTCTAATTTCACTTGCGACGATAACCTACTACAGCAGCTCCCGTTCCCGTCTCTTGACCTAGCATCTTAACCTGCCCGGGAGAAGAATTTAGCTGCCCGGGCAAGCGTTTTTCTGTGCGTACCAGACCCCCTCCGGCCAGCGTACTGCGTATAAACTCTAGCGTTTATACGAAAAGCGTAATAAACGCGAAACGCGTTTTTTCCAACATAGGTTTTTTGCCCAGCATCTCAAATCCACCTCATCCAACTTGACCACACTTGCCAACCTAGTTTGGTTTCTTCCAACCACTACAGTCGAGTGACAAAAATTCTCAGCCCCCCAAAAGTCTATTCCACATATAGAGTCACTCCACACCAATTCCCAAAGTTGTCGCATCGAAATATCAAAAGTATACGAACTTCAACCGTTCGTAACTTTCTCATCCATTCTCTGATCGCAACGATTGTTGGCTCGTCGGAAAGCTCTTGAGCAGAGAAATCATTTCCAATATCTGCTAAAAAAAAAAAAAAAAAAAAAAAAAAAAAATCACATACATTCACAACTTCCAAACCATGCAAAACATAATTCTTGCACAAGCTCACACCACACATGCAACGCACGAACATACGACGGGAGGCAGACAGACGTAAATGCCTATGGTAGCATCACACAACACATTCTCCCTCCCTTTCTTTACCCCCTCCTCCCATCCTCCTCCATAGGTCATAATAATTTTGTTAGTTCAGGCCCTCCGCATAGACACGCATTACAACACCGCCCCGCTCGCCTCGCTCTCCCTCGAGTATCTCCAAGCCTTCCTCACGCTCGGCCAGTTTTTCTTCACCCTCTCCCTCCTCTCATACAACTACCTCTCCCTCTCTCTCTTCCCCTCAACTCATGTCTTAAGGCCCCTCCAAACACGTTCTTTCTCCTTCCTCTCCACTCCCCCTCTTTTCTTCCCCTTCTCCCCTCCTTCCTCCCCCACTCCCCCTGCCTCTCCCACAGGTGATCATAATCTTGTTAGTTCAGGCCCTACGCATAGCCACGCACTACAAGACCGCCCCACTCGCCTCGCTCTCCCTCGAGTACCTGCAGGCCTTCCTCACGCTCGGCCAGTTCTTCTTCACGCTCTCCCTCCTCTCCTACAACTACCTCTCCCTCTCCCTCTTCTCCCAAATCCTCTTCGGCTTTTCCTCCGCCTTCATTCTTATCCCCGCTACAACGCTCCTCGTTTACGACGCGATAAACAACCATTTGGAGCTCGCGAACGCGCGCATGCTACAGCGCGTGTGGCGCGCGGAACGCAAGCGACAAAAAGCCCGATTCGATAAAATGGACCCATATGATCTAGTCCCAGCGCAGGAGATCTGCTCCTGGTTCCGACCACACATCATCTTCGCGACCCTCCTTTCCAAGCGCACCGAGGAACGCACGTTGCTGCTCCGGGTTCGGGACCGGTTCGAGACGTGCCGATTGGTCGGGTTGGCACCCATGGATTGGCTGAATCATTTGAAGAAGCCGCAGCTTTATGCGGTGCTGGCGCAGGCGTTGCTGGGAGCGAGCACTGGGCATGTGACTGTAGCGAGGGTGCCTAAAGACGGGTGGTTCTGTAGGGAGCATGGCGTGTGGCATACGGCTGGGGAGGATTGTCAGGTAAGGGAGGGGTGTGGAGGTGGAGACAGTGGTTCGGGGGAGAGTGGTGAGGGGTTGGGAGGTGTGGAGAGGGGGGGGGAAGAGGGGAGAGTTGGGAGGAATGGGTTGGGTCCTCAGGCAGGGGAAGGGGTGGAGAACGGTGGCAATGGGGTTGAGAGAGGTGGGGAGGCGAGGAGAAACGGTCAGCTATCTGGATTAAACGGGCAACAGAGAGAAGATTCTGCAGGTGAATCTCAGGTGAATGCTCAGGTGGACACGCAGCAGCCACTGCTGCAGCAGCAGCAGGTGACAGGGAGGAACACGTGGCATGATCTGGATGAGGCTGACGTGTGGCCACCTCAGCTGGAGAGCCACGTCAGCTGGGCATCTGCCAGCGTGGCTGCTGCCCCATTGGGAGGACAGGGGGGAAGAGGAAGAGGCTTGGGAGGAGGGGACGGAATGGGAGGAGTTGGAGGAGGAGGGATGAGGGGGGTGAGAGGAGCAGCGTGGGAAGGATTAGGAGACTTTGACACAGCGAGTATTGGGAGTGACAGTAGCAGTGAGACTGGCAGCACGCACGGCAGCAGCAGTGGGGGAGTGACCCTCAGAAGCATGAGCAGTGGAGGAGGGGGGACCATGGGTGGTGGTGGGGGTGGGGCTGCCGCCTTTGCTGCTGCTGCTAGCAGAGCGGGACTGGGGCTCCGTGTTGGGCTTGTAGCAGCAGCAGGAGCAGGGGGGATAGGCGGAGCAGGAGCGGCAGTGGGTGGGCCGGTGATGCGAAGGACACCGTCGATTCGAGTGCAGAACCTGGTGTCGTGGGAAGAGACCCCCCATGAAGGCCTGCCGGAGCACGGGGCTGGGGGTGCTGCAGGGATGGGAGATGGAGCAGCTGCAGCGGGTGGGGCAGGGGAAGAGGCGGTGGAAGGAGCTGGGGCAGCAGCAGCTGTGGGGGGAGGGGCAGGGACGGAGGCAGGAGCAGGTGGAGGAGGTGAGAACGGAGGAGGAGGCGGAGGGGGAGGGGGTGGGGTGAACCCAGAGGCTGCTGGAAGGAGGCAGCGGATGGGAGGGTGGTGGGGAAGGGGAGCGCGAGTGAGTGAGAGGGGAGGAGGTACGGGTGCTGGTGCAGGTGCGGGGGAGGCAGGAACTGGAATGGGGGAAGCCGGGAAGCAGCAGCAGCAGCAGCAGCAGCAGCAGCAGCAGCAGCAGCAGCAGCAGCAGCAGCAGCCCCCACAACAGCAGCAATACCAGCAGCAGCCGGAGCAGAGGGAGCGAGCGGGTGGCAGTGGGGAGGAGTGTGTGGAAGCGAGGATGAACATGGGCGCGCTGAGCCTGGCGTTTCAGAAGCACCTGGCGCTGCTGGTGCGCGCTGAGAGGACCCGCAGCAGCGAGGCCCTGCGCCTGCTCGTGTGCTCCGAGGCCGTGCCCTCCATCCTTAGCTGGCTCACCAGCGCTGAGAGGTGAGGTGTGCATTCCAAGCCTCTTTTGAGTCCATTCAGAATCTGTTTCTGAGTCGACTCAAAAACAGACTCACAGAGGCCGTGCCCTCCATCCTCAGCTGGCTCACGGGCGCTGAGAGGTGAGGGTGAGCCAGCTGAGGCTCACCTGGCTCAGTGTTCGGAAATCCATTGCTGAGTGAGAGCATGGCTTGCTGTGGCTCCCTCAAGATAATAGAGGGTTTTTGAGACGTCCCAAAAACTCTGTGTTATCACATGTGGCCAGCTGAGGCTCACCAGGCTTGGCATTCGAAACACCAGTGCTGAGAGAGCATGGCTCGCTGTGGCTCCCTCCGTCTCCCTAACCCGTCCCGTCTCCCGTCCCCTCCATCTCCCTACCCCTCTCATATGCCTGCCCCCTTCCCTCCCTCTCCTGCAGCACACGGGAGGATCAGATGCTGCTGAGGCAGCTGCTGATGGCAGTGCGGGTGGCGGCAAGTGAGGAGGCGGGGGGGCTGGACTGGTGGAGTGGCGTCAAGTGCTTCTACTCCAAACGAGTCACCTTCAAACGGGACAAAGCAGCCCCTGTGGCTTCGGCTCCCACTCCCACCCCCGCACCTACGTATGTTCTCTTCGCTGGTTGCATGCACGCACCACACCACATATGCACGCACCACACTGCACATGCACGCACCACACCACACATGCACGCACCACACCACACATGCACGCACCACACCACACATGCACGCACCACACCACACATGCACGCACCACACCACACATGCACGCACCACACCACACATGCACGCACCACACCACACATGCACGCACCACACCACACATGCACGCACCACACCACACATGCACGCACCACACCACACATGCACGCACCACACCACACATGCACGCACCACACCACACATGCATGCACCACACACACACAATTCAAAAACGGATGACTCAAACACGAATGGGTCACGTATGGGTGCATAGTGCTCAGTCTGCGCTTATCGCATAACATGAGCCTCACACAATCTGTATGCATGTCCATGCTCACGTGCACGCATAAATCCCATGCTTACTGTCATCGCTCTTTTGACAAGTCAGGAGCGTGTGTCGTCTCATCACCTCCGTTTTTTCTCCTCCTGCCTTCCCCACCATCTCCCTCCAGCACCATTGAACTCGCTCCGGTTACCACCTAGCACCAAATCCTTCAGGCGCCTCTCAAGGCGAAGTGCTCGCCCCGGTTACTGGCTTGAATACAGCTGTGCCGAGAAGGGTTGTTGCTAAATGCCCTCAGGGAGGGCTGCTGCTAGTGCTCTGTTGTGCAGATAGCCATGTGGTTGCCCTGGAATACTGTTTTGTGTTGTGGTGTGATTGCTCTTGCACGATCCTCTGTGTGCAGTTACTGAGATCCCACCCCACCAGCTCTTGTGGGGTGTTTGAGGAACAAATCAGAACAAGCACTAGGAGGATGCTTGTACACAACACAAATACAAGGGAGGACGTTACACCTTTTCTCAGCTGTGGTTTATATTGTCATCCAAAAAACGATTTCTTGCTGTTTTCTTCCAATCTCTTCTCCCTCTGTCACAGCACAGAGAGAAAACGGGGGAGGAAAAAGAGGGGGAGACGGGGAGGTGGGGAAAGGGGGAGAGGGAGAAGGGAATAAAAGCATGACAGAATGAGGACTAGCTGGGAGTTTTTGAGAATTCTCAAAAACTCCCTGCAACGAGGTGAGGAAAGGGGGAGTGGGATAAGGGAATAAAAGCATGACAGAATGAGGACTAGCTCAACAGTAGAAGCCCCATGCCCATCCCTCATGCACCATCTCTCATGCACCATCTCTCATGCACCATGTCTCATGCACCATGTCTCATGTATAATGTCTGTGTATGCAAGTCGTGCACCATGCTCACATCTTGTTTCCGGCACTCCTTGTATGCGTCGAATTTGTCCTCGCACTTGCTCTTGTCGTAGCCGTTCTTATCCAAACCTGGACACAATAATAGCGGGGATGAAGTGAACGAGCTTGGACACAATCAACAACTGGCGTTTGGTGCACTAGTTACATGCTAAATGCACCTATCCCGTGATCGCGATTGAAGGTGATTTGCAGTAAAGTGTTACCGAGGTGTTACGCGTGCATGTTTGAGTTAGTACGAGATAGCTTTTCGCTACGGTGTGAAGTGAGGAGAGTGGTGACAGAAGGAGTGGTCACTAAAGTATCTAGCGTCGCGCATCGAGCGGCGGAGGTCGTACATTTTAAGGAGTCCGCGTAGTGCGCGGCGCACATGTGATCGGACATGCGACCCGTCCGACGCGCCGCCTCTGCCTCGCGTGCAGCGATGGCCGACTGCTCCGTTGAACCCGGCGCCGAATCCGCCATCGCGCGTCTCTTCAGAGTGCGAGTTACAACTGTAACTCGGGATCCTAAAAACTTTCGTCCTCCCTGGCTCCTTCGTGACGAAGGAAAGCGAATCGACAGCTGACAGTTTGAACGGACCAGTTGACAGCTTTCAGCCCGCACCACAGCGCGTTAGGCTTTCGTGAAAGCTTCTCCCTAGTTCTGCTCTCCCTCTCTGCGCCTGCGACTTCGTTTAAAAGAATCCAAGGTTCGCCAACAGCGACTGGTTTTGGATTAAAACGTGGCGAACCGCGACTGCTGTGCTGTCAATGGGAGCAGCTGGCGGAAAGCGAACGCGAAGGAGCGAAGTGAACGATTTCGAAGAGCACGCAGAACACATATGCCGGATGTTTTGCCGAAGTGAGAAACATAAATCGAGAAGAGCTGCAACTGGCTCTGGATTGTGCGAGATGCACGACAAGTTTGCGCGCTGTCTGGAATTTCGTGAGTGCTTGCGAGTTTCGTGTCCCAGCTTCATCCCAGACGTTCCAAGTTCGGACTCGCTCTGGAAAAGCAGAATTTTGAAGGACGTATTCTCCATGCAGAAATATATGCTTCTTTCTCAAGAAAAAGGAACCAGAATCTCGTTAGTCTCGTTTAGTGTTGTCGCTAGACCTTGTAGTGGGGCCAACGTAACTGGAACAGAACGTCGCGAACATTGGCGAGCGCGTGATCATCGCAACCCAGTGTTTAGAGTGTCAATCATTGAAGCACCACAAACAACTTCGGAAGTCAAATCAGCCCTCTCCTCAGTCATTGATGCATCGGGACCACGCCTGAAGCAGCTACCGAGCCCGTTACAGGCTTGGTGGAACACCTCGCTCGAGCTCCCCAAGAAAAGTACGACCCACATCATTTTGTGGTGCGTGGTTTCGATCTGAAAGTTCGATCTAGTTCCTCACGAACTGGTAACTCTGACACATCCTCCTCCTTCCTTGCCGTCGCAAGTTTTGCGCTGCTGATCCCCCACGACCCGATCGCTCACACGACCCGATCGTCGCTTTCATTCCAATTCACATGTCGCTGGTGCCACTGCTGGCTCACTCTCTGTCCATGTAGCATCAGAGGGTCGTAAGCATTGTCACATTTTAGAGTCCTCAGCAATTTTCCTGTCAAGGTATTGCATTTCTCTCCGATTGGGACGTTTGGATTTTGCCATAGGAGGGGTTGAGTACCTTTTGGCTCCACAAAATAGAATTTCCCCGTGGCGTCGGATCGGACGGATCACGCGGAAAGCAGCTGCCGTGCCTCTGGGATGGAAGCTGATCAACTAGCAGCAGCAGTTCCCCATGTGGCACTTGCTGCTTCGGCTGAGCTCGCCGCAGGGGACGCGACTGGCGGAGATACGCGCACCGATGGCGGAGCTTTGTGCGCGGATAACGGCGCGCGCGGGAATGAAGATGAGGGGAGAGGTGGAGTGAGTGGGGAAGGCGGAATAGAGAAGAAAAACGGAGAGGTAGGGAGCAACAAAGGGGATGGAAAAGGAGAAAAGCGGGATGGCGGAGAAAGGACGGAGGGCGGAGAAGGAGGGGAAGAGAGAGAGGGATTAAGCAGCGGCAAGGTATCGAATGACGCTACTAACGGGGACACGAGTGCGCAGGACGACAAGCCGCTGTCGAAGAACGCGCAGAAGAAACTGGCGAAGCGGCAGGCGATGCAGGAGCGGAAAGAGCGCGAGCGCGCGGAGGCGCAGCAGAAGCGTGCGGAGCAGCAGAAGCGCGCGGAGCAGGAGGCGGCGGCCAAGGAGGCGAGCATGACGGCGGAGGAGCGCGCGGAGGCCGCCGCTCGGCAGCGGGAGAAGGCGGAGGCGCGGCGGGTGGCGGAGGCGGAGAGGCGGAAGGCGTGGGCGGAAAAGGCGGAGAAGGGTCCGGGGCTGATAATCGACTTGGAGTTTGAAGAGCTGATGGGGGAGAGGGAGCTGTCGAGCCTGCAGCAGCAGGTGAGGGGCAGGAGATGGGCATAGGAGGTTACTGCAAGGGGAATGAGGGTTCGAGGTTTAAGGATTTGGCCGTATGGCAGCATGGTGCAAGGGGATTGAGGGTCCGGGGCTCATTATTGACTTGGAGTCTGAAGAGTTGATGGGGGAGAGAGCTGTCGAGCCTGCCGCAGCAGGTGAGGAATGGCGGGTTTAGGGTTTCAAATATCGACTTCAGTGTTGAGGAGCGATGGAGGGCTGTGGAGCCCCTCGTGTGGTTCCACTCCCAGTCAGCGCCTAGTTGGTTTTCCTACGACTTTTGAGGTGCCTCATAAGCCACTTCCCCCCCGTACCGCAGGTCGTGTACTCAACTGCTTCCCCCCGACTCCCCCATCCCATTCTACCCCTTCACCCCATCTCTTCTTCCCCCCAGGTCATGTTCTCCTACGCACTGAACCACCGCGCCCCCTCCCCCTGCCGCCTCACCCTCTCCGGCCTCCCCCCAGCCAGCCCCTTCCTGCACCGCCTGCAGCGAATCGCCGGCTTCGACAGCTGGCACGGCGTGACTGTGGAACCCCGTTCCTATATCGAAGCCTGGGCGGGCAGGGAGGGGGAACTGGTGTATTTGACTGCAGATGCGGAGGAGGAGGTGGGGGAGGTGGAAGCGGGGAAGGTGTATGTGGTGGGGGGGATAGTGGATCACAATCGGTACAAGGGGCTGACTAAGGGGAAGGCGGAGAAGCAGGGGATTAAGACGGCAAGGCTGCCAATCGGGAAATACCTCAACCTGAAAACTTCCAAGGTGGGTGTTCAGAATGGTGCAGTGCGGTGCTGTGCGATGGAGATGAGTGCAGTACGATTTAGTGTGGTGCAGTGAGATGTAACGTGTGGTGGGGGAGATAGTTGATCACAATCAGTCCAAGGGGCTGACGAGGGGGAAGGCGGAGAAGCAGGGAATCAAGAGAGGTTGCCAATTGGGAAATGCCTGAACTTGAAGACTTCCAAGGTGGGTAAGCAGAGCGAGGCAGCACAGTGTTGTGCGGTGCTGTGCAGTGCACTGCAGTGCAGTGCAGTGCGGTGAGATGTATTGTGTAGAATGGTAGACTTTTTGGACATTGCATGGACCGAGAGAACGGCAAGCTGTATGACAATTGATCATGTTGCCTCAGCCATCATTTTCACCCCTTGCACTACCTGCAGCACAGGGACTCGTAACTTGTTGCTTGTTTCCCACAGAGTTTCCCTCGTTCCCTGTTTGTTTTAACAGGTGCAAGTGCTAGCAGTGAACCACGTGGTGGACATCATTCTGCAGCACCTGCACCACAGGGACTGATGGTGATTTGTGCAGGAACTACTACCTCCGTTGCTTCTCTCACCTCACTCCACCCCGCTACACTACACTACACCCCTCTCCACCCCACCCTGCCTGCCTCCCAGGTATTGGCTGTGAACCACGTGGTGGACATAACCCTGCAGTACCTGCAGCACAGGGACTGGGAGAAAGCAGTGGCAGTTGTTGTGCCAACCTGCCATTCTGTGCTGTTGACCCATTTCACCTTATAACCATCCCCTTTGTTCGCCCCGTGCAGGTGCTGGCTGTGAACCATGTGGTGGACATTATTCTGCAGTATCTGTAGCACAGGGACTGGGAGAAAGCAGTGGCGGCTGTGGTGACAGCTTACTGTTTGCCCCAACCACTAATACCACCCCATTTGTTTTCCCCGTGCAGGTACTGGCAGTGAACCATGTGGTGGACATTATTCTGCAGTACCTGCAGCACAGGGATTGGGAGAAAGCAGTGGCGGCTGTTGTGCCTGATAGGAAGAAGACGGACAGACCGGAGGGTGACAATAATGAGAGTGATACTAGTGAAAGAGAAGCTAAGAGGGCTAAATGTGAGAGCAAAGAATGACTGCGACTTATTGTCCAGGTTCTGTTGGGCGCCTCGATTGTTTTGACAAATGTATTATGCGTCTGGTGAAAATCGCTATTGAAGGAGATTCATATGCGATGCACTGAAAAAATATGTGCAAACATCCTACTTAATCAATCATTTGAAACAAGCACGTGCTAAGTAGGTCAGCGTACACCCTGAAGAACAATACAGTACAGTACATTATCTGCATGCGGCAATATCGCGGTGATGCATCGGTTGCATTCCATCTTTCCCTCAAGGCTCGAGTCAACATTTCCTTCGCGACTTTTCCGAAAAACCGAGCTCTCTCCAGTCACATCGTCTCTTCTCAACTTATTTCGTCCTTCTGAATGCGTTGGTTCTAGGATTAGTTACAGGGCTGGCATGGCGGAGTCATTAACGCGATTCTATCCGGCGAATGCGGTGTTAGAGCCTTCGCGATCGTCTAGCGTTAGGTCGTCTTGCGAGCATTGCGGAGGAAGAACGGCGAGTTTCACGAAAGGCAGTTACCAAATACCGAGTCGACGAACCACTGGCGATCTTCCCGATAGGAGCAGCATCGCACGATCAACCCGAGCAAGAGATCTTCCGTCTCATCCTCGATATAGTCCATCTCGTCTAAATAGTCTAGAAACAGTTCGAGAGTGCCATCCGTTAAGTTTCTCACGGAGCTCTGCTCGCTTCGAAGGGACAGCCGACACGGGAGCTGATCAACGGTTATCCTTCGCGCAGGATGGCAGTGTGAACAGTGCGAATCCACGATCGCGAAGATCGCGAAGCTCGCGAGGATATTTTCAGCGATGCCAGGCTGGCACGGATGACTCGGCGCGCTTCACGAGCTTCGAGCGCGAGCAGGAGGGCAATGAAGCGGAGGAAAGGCGGCGGACGGCAGCTGGGCGGCAGGCCGGTGGCCGGCCGGGCGTGTCGTTTTCTGCAGCTGGCCGGAACGGCGACAACAATTTCAACGGCGTGTTCCTGCTGCTTCTGCTGAACCTTCTGGCGTTTCTAGCCGATCACTTTCTACGGGTATGACTTTGCGACGGGTGCGACTTTTGGGCCGCCTCGAAACTTGCTGCAGCGTCTTGCTCAAAGACTTCGTTTCTTGCCGTTAAGAAATACAGATGGAATTATTATAGCATTCTTATTGGATCAGTTGCTACGGGTACAGACGAACAGTCTGACTGCCACCCTTCACCACCCTACACCAAAGCTTACTAGTTCGACTCGTTCCTTTCTTTCTCCCTTGGATATCACATATGCAACTCCTTCCATTCTCAGCCAAACAGCAAGTAGCCGAACTTCTCGATTTCCTGATCGACTAAAAATCCTTCCATTTTCCGTAGCAGCTAGACAGCAAAGCAACCGAACTTCTCCTTTCCTCTTACACCTATCCGTTAGCATCTATCTTTTCTCCCCTTACCTCTCTCCCCTCGCCTCTGCTCCCACCAGCTCCCAGTGTGGTCGTCTCTCTATCTGCACCACGCCTCTCCGCGCTGGTACCAGTTCGTCACCTCAACATTCTGCCACGCTGGCTGGTGAGTTGCTTGAAAGTTCTTGAGTCGTCATTGACAGTTCTTGAGTCCAAGTGGATGTTCTCTGCCTTTTAAGCATTTATTTTTTAGGCATGCTTATATGCCACGTGGCAAGCATATCCGCCGTGCACCATTGTTATTCTTACATACCTTTCACTGTATCCTCTTACCAAATCCTCCCTTTTTCCCCCTCCCTCTCCCCTCCCTCCCTTTCTCCAACAGGAGCCATCTCTCAAGCAACCTCTTCTTCCTCTACATATTCGGTACGCTCTCTCTCTCTCTCTCTCTTTCTCCCCCGCTCCCTCCTTACAACGCATACCTCCCCCACCTCTCGCCCATTCACCATCTCTCTCTAGCTCAACCCAGGAGCCATCTCTCAAGCAACCTCTTCTTCCTCTACATATTCGGTACGCTCTCTCTTTTCTTCTTCTCCCTCCATATTGCCCCGTTTCCTTCTCCGCATGCTTGTTTACCTCCCTGCAGCGGACTTTTAATCTCATTGCCCCACCTCCATCCCATTGCCTCACCTCCATCCCATTGCCTCACCTCCATCCCATTGCCTCACCTCCATCCCATTGCCTCACCTCCATCCCATTGCCTCACCTCCATCCCATTGCCTCACCTCCATCCCATTGCCTCACCTCCATCCCATTGCCTCACCTCCATCCCATTGCCTCACCTCCATCCCATTGCCTCACCTCCATCCCATTGCCTCACCTCCATCCCATTGCCTCACCTCCATCCCATTGCCTCACCTCCATCCCATTGCCTCACCTCCATCCGATTGTCCCACCCCTATCCGATCGCCCCACCTCCATCCGATCCCATGCTCTAACCTCGTCTCATGGCTGCCACTCCCCTCTTCCTCCCTCTCACTCAAGGAACAAAAATACGGTCGTATTTTTGAAATGTTACCGTTTTAAACGGTTTCTCATAATAGGCTCCTGTGAGAAATCGTAGAGCAATTTCAAAAAGACGACCCTATTTTTGTTCCTTCTCACTACCTCGTTCACACATTCACTCACTCTTTCTCTCAGGTCGGCTAGTGGAGGAGGAGGAGGGAACCCTGGGCCTGTGGGTGACCTACCTCGTGACAGGCGCAGGTTCCAACCTCGTGTCCTGGCTGCTCCTCCCGTCGTACACCGTCTCTGTCGGTGCCTCTGGTGCCGTCTTTGGCCTCTTTGTCGTCAGCGTGCTTACCCGGGTAAGTACTGATTCTCACTGCGATGAATATGGCTTGCGAAATGGTGCAGTGCAGTGCTGGGGTATTCACAACTTGTCCTGGCTGCTCCTCCCATCGTAAACCGCCTCTGTCGGTGCCTCTGGTGCTGACTTCGGCCTCTTCGTTCGTTGTCAGCATGCTTACCCGGGTATGTACGTATAATTCCATGGTTGCTGCAGCTGCAGTAGAATTTGAGGAGGATCGCGGAGGTGACTGACCATTTTTGAGATGTTTGCACACTTGTGCGTGCTTCCGCCACTGAATGCTCCTCGTGATAACTCTTGCTCTCTTGTTCCTGTGTGTTCATTCCATTGCCTGTTGCAGCTGCAGTGGAACTGGAGGAGGATCGCGGAGGTGACCGACTGTTCTTGAGATGTTGAATCATTGTGGCTGGTTCCTCCCCTCGTTTCTTCCGTTAACTGTTGCAGCTGCAGTGGAACTGGAGGAGGATCGCGGAGGTGACCGACTGTTCTTGAGATGTTTAATCATTGTGGCTGGTTCCTCCCCTTGTTTTCTCCGTTAACTGTTGCAGCTGCAGTGGAACTGGAGGAGGATCGTGGAGGTGGTCATTCTGGGGCAGTTCGTGGTAGAGAAGGTGAGAGGAGGGGAGGGGAGGAGGGGGGAGAGAGGAGGGGGAAGGGGGGGCGGGATAGAGGACCGTTCGGGAGGAAAGAAAACAAACTCGAGGAGGGTCGTTGAGGTGGTAATCATGAAACAAACTCGAGGAGGGTCGCTGAGGTGGTTATCGTGAAACAAACTCGAGGAGGGTCGTTGAGGTGGTTATCGTGAAACAAACCCGAAGAGGGTCATTGAAATATACCATCCTCTTCCACCGATCCCTCCCTCCTCTCGAACTCTCCCTCTTGTCCCCACGCAGGTCCTGTCAGAGGCGCGGAACTCGGCAATCATGGGGGTGGGCATGGCGGCAGGGTCGGGAGTGAACCACATCGCCCACCTGGCAGGGGCGCTGGTGGGAGTGCTGCTCATCTGGATGGTGTCCCGCCTGCCTGATGCCAGCAGCAGGGATAGCGGGGAGGGGAGTGGCAAGAACCCTCGTGTGACATAGCATGTTGCTCACCTGCTGCACCTCTGCTCTGTTGCTTCTCTTGCTAGGAGTGCTACTCATTTGGCTAGGGTCACGCCTGCCCGATGGGAGCAGCAGGGATGGTGGGGAAGGAGTGGCAGGGACAGCAGCAACAGCACAGATGGTGGGAAGGCAGCAGCAGAGTGCAACTCACGGAGCATGCTGCTTGCCTGCTGACCCCCAATCACTCTTTGCATGCTCCTCTGCTGTTCCTTTGCTCTAGTATTGCTCCTGTCTGTCAGTAAATCTGCACAGTGGATGCCCGATTGATCCTTCGGAGGGTTACAGGCGCGTTCGTCTGGGGGGCTATAGGCGCACGAACCCGCTACACAAACAAGCCTTTTTATCCCAGTGGTCTAGTGGTTGAGAGCGGTCTCGGGTTCGAATCCCGGTGTATGGGCATGTAGGCCTTCGCCGCTGTACTCAGTCCTGGGCCTCCCAGCTGTTAGACCCTAATGAGCAGGAATGGTTGCATTGAATGAGTTGTGGGTATAAGCATTAACCCTTACATTGGGTTGTATCCTATATGGGTTACCCCATTATAGTTTACATTGAACTAGCACAGTTTGGCACACCCCCATAGGCAAAGTGTGGGAGAACAAGGGGTCACAGCCTCAGTCAAGAAAAGCAAAACAAGCTCAGGGTGGATCACAACGTCACCACACACTCCGAGCAGAAGCAAATGGCCACAAGGCCAGTTCACATGCAGAGGTATATATGCAATAACAACAACAGTACAGTGATCACTACCTAGCAAGAGTAAACATGAAGGTATATATATATATATATATCATAGTACAACCAAAGTCTACAACAAAGGAGGAAACGCAGGCACCAGGCCTAAAGCAGTGCAGTGCAGAAGCGCTCATGATCACCAGCCGGAAGGGCCTTGGTGAACACATCAGCCGTGTTCGCTCCGGAGGACGAGTGAGCGACACGAAGCTGACCACGCTGCTGCAACTCTCGAGCAAGGAAGTAACGCAGAGCGATGTGCTTCGTTCTGTGCTCAAGTCTGTGCTCCTGACACAAGGCAACGTCAGCCTTGTTGTCGACGTACAGCACTGGAGGAGAATGAGGCCTCTCTCCCAAGTCAGTCAGCAAGTAGGTGAGCCAGCGTAACTCCTGTGCAGCCATGGCTGTGGCGTAAATCTCTGCCTCACAACTGGAGCTGAGAACAGAAGACGAGAGTGTAGACCGCCAAGAAACAGAGCCAGAGCCAAGGCTGAACGTCTAACCCTGTGACGACCGCTGCGTAGCCAGGTCGTCAACCCAAGAAGCGTCTAAGTGCCCAGTGAGGACAACTGGACTCCGCCCTCCAAGCACGAGCCACATGCCCGATGTACTGCACAAGTAGCGCAGTACCCTCTTTGCAGCATCGAAATGCACCTTTCGGTGCATACCAGGAGCCACGTAGCGTGCCAGAAGGCCAAGAGGGTACGCAAGGTCAGGACGAGGGCAGGTCACCAGGTACATGAGGCAGCCCACTAGCTCTGGGTATGGACCACTCGGCTCTACGGACTCGTCCGAAGGTGGAGCTGTGAGCGAGTGACCTATAGCCAGGAGAGTGGACTGTGGCGAGGACCAAGTGAAGCTGAAGCGCTGAAGGACCTGCTGCACCATGTGTGACTGGGTCAGTGTGATGGTGCGCTGTGCTCTGTCCCAGCTAATCTGCAAGCCAAGGTAGCTGCGCAGCTCACCTAGGTCTGTGCATGTGTGTCTCTTCTGCAGCTCCGACTTCACAAGGGCGAGAGCCTCAGTATCAGCAGTGGCAAAGATCAAGTCGTCGACGTACACGAGGATGTAGAACGGCGGCAACGAAGTGTCAGTGCGCAGAAACAGTGACGGGTCAGCAGTTGAAGGTGCCAACCCAAGAGCCGCAAGTGTAGTCCTCAGTGTGTCTCGCGAGGCGCCTGTCGGAGACCGTAGACCGGCCGGCGGAGGCTCCAGTGGGTACCAGGAGGGAACGGCCTAGTGAAGCCAGGTGGGCGGCGCAGCCAGATCTCCTCGTGCAGACTGCCCTGTAAGAACGCTGTGCTAAAGTCCAGAGAGTGAAGCTCGTAGTCACGCTGAGCGGCAACGTGCAGCAGCACCCGAAGAGTGGTCATCTTTGGGGTGGGGGAGAAGGTATGGAAGAAGTCAACTCCCTGTCGCTGACTGAAGCCTCGTGCAACGTAGCGAGCCTTGAAGACAGGCGGAGAACCCGGCGGCCGCTTCACACTGAAAATCCACATGCCATCGACTAGGTTCACCCCAGGAAGGGGAACTGTGTCGACGTAAGTGTCTGTGGACATCCAGGATGTCTGGAGCTTCTGTGTCTCCCTCAGGGGCAAGCAGCATGGCCATGAGATGAGGCGCAGCGGCTGCAAGACACTCAAAGTCCTCCTGCTTGTCCTCAATGTCGAATCAGCAGGCAAAAGTTAGAAACAGGAAAGAGGGCTTTTCACTAGCAGCATTTGAGATACATATAGGAAACCCTAATTGGGTTACACTCGCTATAGAGTACCCCACAGCAGGTTAGACAAACATTGACATTCTGACACACCCCCATAGTCAGACTAGGGTACAATCAACACAACAAGCAGGCAGTGCAATATTTCACAAGGATAAGCAAGGCTAGAGGCTATCACAGAGGGCAAGTGAGGAGGAGGAGATACTGTGGAGGGCGAGAAGATGAGAGGCGACGGCTGAAGCTGCAGACACACGGGCACTCACCAGACGCCTCAGTGTCTCCAGGTGCAGCACCCCCAGACTCAGTACGTCCAGGCACAGCACCCCCAGACTCCCCACACCCAGGCTCAACACCTCCAGTCTCCGCACCCCCAGGCTCCGCACCTCCAGGCTCCGCACCCCCAGGCTCAGCACCCCCAGGCAAGAGTGCGCAGCACTGACGCTACAAAGCTAAACTCGGGCTACACGGCGACAAGCGCAGCTAGCTCACTGTGCTCCCGGGAGTGCTCACACTGCGGCTACCGGGCGCAGAGCCCCGGACTACACGGCCACAGGGGGTCATGGCTCTCTGGACTACCAGGAGTGCTCAAACTGTGGCTACCAGGCGCAGAGCCCGAGACTACACGGCCACAGAGGGTCGTGGCTCTTAGGACTTCAAGCGCTGCGGACGTCAAGCTGGCTACCTCCGGTCAACCTCCCCAACTGTCCCACACCCCTTTCAAACACCCCCTGCTGAACCACTAGCACCGCTCACTCGCCAGCCCCCTCGTACCACTCCGACGGCTCCAACACATCCACCCCCCTCAGCGGCAGCTGCAGCAGCGGGTTCCGGAGGAGGAGGAGGAGCAGGGGATAGCTCACACACACGGCACCCCCATACTCTCCACCCCCAAACCCTAACACAGGAGTGCGGTCAGAAGCTCGGAGGACGGCGTGCGGCTCTGGGGCAGACGGTACGGGCAGCTCACGGGCCTGGCGCAGGCCGGACGAACCGCGCGCGGGATGCTCGAGCCGCGCGCAGGCTTGGCGCAGCCCGTACGGGCCGCGCGCGGGCCTGGCGCAGGTCGTACGGGCCGCGCGTGGGCTGTACGGGCCGCGAGCGGGCCTGGCACAGCCCGTAATAGCCGCGCGCGGGCCTGGCGTCTACCTGGGATACACCTGAAGGGGCAGGACCCTGAGGGGGCAGGGGCGCTTGATGTCAACGGGAGCGTTGTAAGGCCCCGTCCTCGCTTGGGCGGAGCCAACCTTGTGGTCGGATGTGCGAGGGTAGCAGCCGTCCTGCAGCAGTGGGCACGGGGGCCACTGCAAGGGCGCCGAGCAGGAGGACGCCGCCCTGGACGCCTGGTTGGCGTCCCGGACGCCTGGACGGCGTCTTGGAAGCTGGACGCCGAGCTGGGCGTCGCCACGATTACCCGGGCGCCTGGTCGACGTTGTGGGCACCTGCACGGCGCTCTGGAAGGCCAGACGCCGACCTAGGCGTATGCACGGCGTCCTGGGGGTCCGGACGCCGACCTGGGCGTCCCGGGGGGACCAGACACCGACCTGGGTGTCTGGTCGGCGTCCTGGGAGGAGGGACGCCGCTCTGGAGGTTTGGTCGGCGTCCTGGGCGTCTGGACGCCGACCAGGGGGTTCGGAAGGCGTCCTGGGCGCCTGGACGCCAGACTGGGGACGCCGGGCATGCGTGACCGGCTACGGACTGCGCGAGTCGACCAGGCGTGATTGCCCGGTCGATCGGGATACCCGGGCGACGTGCGCGAGTGTCGCAAGGGTGGAGTCTGCGAGGCCGACCTCGGGGGTGGTATCCCGAGGTCGACGTGGCTGGTGGGCACAGTCGCTGGCGTGGAATCTGCCAGGCGTCTGCGTTGTGCACATGACGGGGAATTGCGCACCAACCAGCTGCGTGCACCTGTGAAGCAGGTGCACCGTTGTCCTACGGGTGCAACGCTGTGCAGCCGACTTGCTGCAGCACTAGCACACCGTGGACTTGCAACGTTGGCGAACCGCTACTCTGCAACGCTGGAGCGGTGCGAGCGCTGCTGCGCAAGAGCGCGGTCGACCGTGCTGCGTTGGAGGTCGACCATCAGCCTAGCTAGCACCGATGTAGTCTGTGATGCCAATGTTGTTGCTATCATTGTTGTCATGTTTTCCTAGTGAAACTCTTGCAAATTCTCCCCGTGAACAAGCAAGGAGCGTGAACACAAGGAAACGACTAAGTGAACGAATGCAGAGATCACATGAGCACACGTGCCTAGCCCGTAGCCTAGCTCCCGTTGCTGCAGTTATCTCCGCACTGGAGGAGCTAGCGGGGGCGGTGGAGGCGGCGGTGGAGGCGGCGGAGGGGGTGGGGTTGGCGGTGGGGGTGGTGGCGGGGATGGAGGTGTCGGTGGCGGCAGTGGAGGCGGAGGTGGCGCCGGCGGTGGCGGTGGGAGCGGAGGTGGCGGAGGTGGCGGCGGTGGAGGAGGCGGTGGCGGAGGAGGTGGAGCTGGTCGGGGTGGCGCTGCGCAGAGGGTCGGCTCCGGTGGTGGTCAGTACCAGCAGCAACAGCGCACTCGTGACATCCCCCCCCCTCAGCAGCTCCATGAGTGGTACGCTGCACGCCAGCGGGGTGGGGGTACTGGTCCGTGCACCTACGTCCTAGGCACCAGCGACCGCGCGGGTGAGTAGCGCGGGGGTGCGCACTCCACCCAGCGCTGCTTTGGCTGCCTGACGAACGCTTGGCGTCACCAGTTCCCGGAGGCCACTGAGATCCCCCACTGGGGCGAGCTGTCTCGGGCG